AGGTGAGAGAGCCAATACACAGAATCTGTCAGTTATGTGTGTGTGTGTCTGTGTTTTCATGTGCATATATATGTATATAATATATATGTACAGAATAGTAATTTATATATAAATTATATATATTATATAATTACTTTTGAATATATAATTATATAATTATATATACATATGTAAAAATTATATATAAATTATTTTATATATAATTATATAAATTACATGTATAATTATATGTATATTTTATGTACATGTAATTATACATGTAAATGTATAAATATACATGTAATAATTATGTGTATATAATATATATTATAAAATAATTATATATTATATAAATTACTATTGAATTTTTAAAAAGTGGTTACTACAATATGTTTGTGTCATAGTGGCAATTTTTTATATCATATTACAAACCTGAACTGTGATAAAATTCATCCTGCAGTTGATTTATCTGAACCAAACTTATGGGGATACAGATATATTGAAGTAGAAAAACCTGAGAAGTTGATAGAATATTTAGATTTAGCCAGATTATAGTATTCTAATTAAGTGTCATCAGCTTTTTTGATATAACACTCTAGCAGTAAAAAGAATGGGGAGCCATACACTTCCAGTATCTGTATTTTTTAACTAGGAATACCAAAGTTTAGCTTTAGTCTTGGTATTCAGCCAAATTCAGTTATTTGGTTTTTGGGCAGTTGAATAATCAACTACTTTAGCATCATTTGTGGCTTTACTGAAATTATGCATGAAATTACCATATGATTATATAGGTTGCCATCATATCTAATCATTGTTAATGATTCTAGTCACAAAAATAAGTCATATTTAAATTTATTATTAGCATCTAAGTATTCAGTTTAAATATAAAGTAAGCTTTCCAGATATAACCAAAAAAATCTCATGAGCTTTCTCTTGCAATTCCATCAGAGTATAAATTTGTAATTGTTATTGCAAAGTAAAATGTTGCAGTAAATGATGAGTGTGAAAACTGCTAATTTTACATAGAAAACAATTTTCAAATTATTGAATAGGGAAAGAGATTGATAATTAGAAGATGTGGGGGGGTGTGTATGTATACAGTATACACACTGGATTATTACTTAGCCATAAAAAAAGCACTACATCTTGCCATTTGTGAAAACATGGACAGACCTAAAGGGTATTATGCTAAGTGAAATAAGTCAGGCAGAGAAAGACTAGTACCATACGATTTCATTTATAGTGGAAACTGAAAAATAAAACGAAGAAAACAGACTCATAGATTATAGAGAACAAACTGGTGGTTGCCAAAGGGGAGGGAGTTGGGGAATGAATGAAATAGGTGAAGGGGATTAAGAGATACAAACTTCCAGTTACAAAATAAGTCACAGAGAAGAGAAGTACAGCATAGGGAATATAGTCAATAATATTGTAATAATGTAAGGTGATAGATGGTGACTACACTTATGGTGGGCACTGAGTAATGTATAGAATTGTTGAATCACTATATTGCACACCTGAAACTTATATAACCTCATATGTCAACTGTACTTCAATAATAAATATTTTAAAAGATTGAATTACTGTGGATATTGAAAGGGTGCAATTATTCAATAACTTTATGATGAACATATGTTCTTTTTTAAAAAAGATTTTATTTATTTGATAGAGACAGTGAGAGCAGGAACACAAGCCGGGGGAGTGGAAGAGGGAGAAGCAGGCTTCCCACGGAGCAAGGAGCCCGATGCGGCACTCGATCCCAGGACCCCAGGATCATGACCTGAGCTGAAGGCAGACGCTTAACGACTGAGCCACCCAGGCGCCCGAACATACATTCTTTTTGAGTCAACAAAAAAATGTGTGGTTAGAGGCGCCTGGGTGTGGTTAAGGGTGCCTGGGTGGCTGAGTCGTTAAGCGTCTGCCTTCAGCTCAGTTCATGATCCTGGGGTCCTGGGATCGAGCCCTGCATCGGGCTCCTTGCTCCGTGGGAAGCCTGCTTCTCCCTCTCCCACTCCCCCTGCTTGTGTTCCTGCTCTCGCTGTCTCTCTCTGTCAAATAAATAAAATCTTTTTAAAAAAATGTGGTTATTTGCGTTGTGGCATTATTTGAGTAATAGATTACAGCTACCCAAGTTGGTACTGAAGGTGGGGAGCTGTACAACAAAAACCTGAAGTATATGCTGTTGGCTTTTGGACGGTAGCAAGGTGAGAAAACTGTTCACTGAAGCTGGAGTAATGGTGAGGAAACTGCTTTATTAAGAAGCTGTTGTGGGGGAGGGGGGTGGGAGGATGGGTTAGCCTGGTGATGGGTATTAAAGAGGGCACATTCTGCATGGAGCACTGGGTGTTATGCACAATGAATCATGGAACACTACATCAAAAACTAATGATGTAATGTATGGTGATTAACATAACAATAAATTTTTTTTAAAAAAGAAGCTGTTATGACGCATTTGATAAAACAGCTGTTTGTGCTATCTTAGAAAACAGGAAATAAACCTAATGAACTTTTGGCTTTGGGCAAGGACATCTCCAGGCAAAACGAAGAAAGTGCCACCTGGTGGTTTTTAGCTGCGTAGGCTAAAGTACTCCTACAAGAAAGAGTTGAGCTAAGAAGGAAGAAGAAAGGGAGGAAACTGTTGTCTTATTTCCAGCCAGCTCCACTAGCAAAGTCTCAAAGTAAGACATGGGCACACATCAAACATCAAATCAAGATTGTAACCATCAGATATTTTGATAAGACCTCTGAGTTAAGGTGGGTACTGAGTAGATCTTCTCAGGTGGACAAAAGCCAAGGGGGTGGTCCCAGAGAATCCAGATCCAAAAGTAGCAGTAAGAAAATCTAAAGAAGCATATATTGCTACCAATTATAGGTACGGCTTTTGGGTGTGTGATGGACCAGAACCAGACAAGGAAGCTCAAAAATTTTAAAGAAAGTGGTACTAGCAAAAACAGCAACTGCTTGGGCTAAACTAAAAGATGATCCTGCTATAAAAATGTCTCTTGGGCCTTGACTGTCTTTGGCAGGAAGCAGCTTGAGAAAGTCACTCAGCTGCTAACAAGGATGGGAAAAGAAGGACATGACATCTCAGATAGTATAACAAAAAGCTATGGGGAGCAGTGAGTCAGGGAGCAACTCCCAAAATGCAATTAGAGATTGGGCTCCAATCAGGAACCATTTCCCCGTTGCCAGAGAGGTAGGCCCAGTAGGTGATCAGAATTGTTAGGAACCAGCGACTATATGCTTCCATTTCTTCCCCCCTTCCAGCGAACTATTTATTGTGGTTATTCTGTTCTCTTTTAATTATTATATAGTGTGTGTGTGTGTAGGCAGAGGGGCATTGTCATCTTGTCATTTTATTTCATAGATCTCTGGATCAAGAGGAGCTGCATCTGGACCTGATGTATATCACGAAATCCTAGACTTGAGGGCTGATGCTGTGATTGTATGAGAACTTTGGGGGTCCTGGGATGAGTGAATGTATTTTGCATGTGGAAGGGATGTGATTATGACCAGAGAGTGAGTGAACTGTCCTAGAACAGTTGCATTAATGGTCTCACTTCTCCACCTCTTGTATTCATACTCTGTTACCATCTGACTCTACAGTTTCACTAAAAGGTTAGATTTGATTTCTTTGCTTATTGATTACAAGTTTGGCCATGTGACTTGCTTTGCCAATGGGATGTTAGACTTGAAAAAACACAATGTTTCCACTTCCTCCCTTTGCCTTCATCATTAGAACATGTCTGGGCTAGGCGGCTGGAGGATGAGACGAAGCACAGCCCAGCTTTCCAGTTGTCCATCCTTTTTCACATGACTCAAAGTCAATTGCTGGGCCTGTGAGGGAGCCCAGCTGATCCCAGCCTAAATTACCCACAGACTTAACAGATAAATAAAGGTAGCAGTTATATGCCCCTGAGGTTTTGTGATTGTCTATTATACATTATTATTGTGGTAATTGGTAGTCATAATAATTTATTACAATATACTTGATGAATCCTCTTCATCACAAAGTATACAAAGAAAGTGTTAGGGAAAAAAAGTGGTGGTGAAAACATACTTTCTTCTGACCCATTAAATCCCCAAACAACCTTTAAATGGAGGATAAAACTTAAAACAACTTATTAAAATGATTATTATAGACTCCACTTGAACTTGTGTGTTTTATAATATCAAATATGTATAGTTTCTGCAGGTTTAGTCCAGTAGCTGACAACACTGAGAAATTATTTGTCCCTGCACTCTGTCAAACTTTAAAGTGTTGACGTCTAAATTCTTGAAACAAAATTGTAATATTTTTGGATAAAACCTCAGATTTATCCTTATATCCCAGTTCATTTTATGATGGTGATAATAGAAACTGGTCAAAAACTTATTTTTTTATTGAAGAATAATTGACATATAATATTGTGTTAGTTTCAGATGGGTAACAGTGGCTTGACATTTATATACATTATGAAATACTCACCACAATAAGTCTAGTTACTACCTGTCACCAAAGTTGTTACAATATTATTGACTATATTCCCTATGCTGTACATTACATCTCTATGTCTTATTTTATAATTGGGAGATTATACCTCTTAATTCCCTTCACGTATTTTGTCCATTCCTCCACGCCCCCTGCTCTGGCAAGCATCAATTTGTTCTCTGTATCTATGCATCTATTTCTGTTTTGTTTGTTCATTCATTTTTTTTTCTTAGATTCCACATCCTCACCAACACTTATTAGTGCAGAATTGCTAAACTATTTTTATTTTTCATACTATTTGGATGACAGTGTTATCATCAAACTTTTATATGGAATTTTTGTTATTATAGATGGTACCTTCTAAAATTCCTAGCTATTTAGGGGTAATCAAGATGGTAAAACACCATAATATGTAGGGATAATGACAGGACAAGGAAAAGGAATCAAAGATACAGTACTTAGTATTATTTCTTTGGTATTATTTACATTTTACCTTAAATAGGATACAAGTTCATTAAATATATCATTTTCCTATTTGTGTAATGGGGAAAACAGTTTCAAAAATCATTTGTCTTTCTTGGAAAAATGTACTGTATTAAAATGTGTAATTTTGTGATTTGTGTGTTTGTGGCTAAAAGGCTCACATTCTTCTGAAAGTACAGTCTAAATTGGAAAATAGTAGAAGTGGCATATTCACAAAATAAGGTACATTCTAAATCATAGTATAATTGCATCTTTCATTATGTCTTTTGAAAATTTTGTTAGAAAAGGAAAAATACTCAGAATTTGCAGAGTTTTAGGGAGACCAGCATCCAAGGAGTTGGGGACAGAAGTCAGAGACTTCCTTTAGTCAAGCTGCTCTTCAACATCACAGTGGTTTTCTCCATACTTCCCAGCATCTTTCCCACTATGCCCTCCCGTCCCCCTCCCGACCAGGTTTCCATGCATCCTTTCTCACACAAAGGAGGCTAGTAGAGGAACTTCTGCATCTAGAAGGTGATTATTAGAGGAGTTAGTTACTTTGCTATGAAAAATTTAATCATTCTTCATGAGAATGGTACTTCTGCATCTTCTTACACTTGAATTTTGACATAATTTTCTGTGAAACATCAGAAGCTGTTCAAGCGACAACTCCCAAAAAGGTGTGTACCTCTCTATATATTTGAGATTTGGTATATAATATTTATAAACAAAAGCAGACTTTTTGATGGGGTTAGGTATCTCCTTAACAATCATTCCATACAACCAGATTAGAAACTCTTGAGTGGAGGAATTGCTTGTAAAGACTGTTAAACAAGTACTTCTAATGTAAACACATCAACTATATTGGTAAAAAAATGAGATCTGTGATAGGTTAAAAATAAAATTTTTAAAAACACATGATATTGACTCTGAGATAGCCTTATAGTTTATAATTTTATGATTCATTCAATTTGGGAGGGTTGGATAGGTTTTTAAATTTTTTTCTATCTTTTTTTGAGATAATTGTGTTTTTGCATGTAGTTGTAAAAAAATTAATGCAGAGAGATGCCATATTTCCTTCACCCAGTTTCCCCCGATGGTAGTATCTTGCATAAATGTAGTATAATATCACAATCAGGAAATCCACATTGGAACAATCCACTGATTTTAATCAGATATCTCCAGTTTTACATGCACGCATTTATGTGTATGTGCATGTGTGTGTGTGTTCAATTCTGAGCAGTTTTATCATATGTAGATTCATATGACCATCATCACAGTCACACAGGTTTATCACAAGGATCCCTCCTGCTACCCTTCCAAAACCACAATCGCCTCCCTATTTGGCCCCACCTCCTTGATCCCAGCAAACCTCTAGTTCTGTTGTCCATATCCATCATTTTGTCAGTTCAAGAATGCCATAAATGGAATAATATACTATTTAACCTTTTGAGATTGGCGTTTTTCACTCAGCAATATTCCCTTGAGACCATCTAAATTGTATCAATAGATTGTTCCTTTGTATTGCTTAGTAGTATTTCATGTATGGATTAGTACAGTTTGTTTACCCGTTAACGGATATGTGAGTTTTTGCCTGTTTGGGGCTATTTATAATAAAACTGCTGTGAATCTTTGTGTACAGGTTTTTTGTTGTTGTTGTTTTGAGAGAGAGCGAGAGCTGATGGGGGAGGGGCAGAGGGAGAGGGAGAGAGAATCTCAAGCAGGTTCCATGCCCAACACGGAGCCCAACACGGGGCTCAATCTCAGAGCCCCGAGACCATGACCTGATCCGAAGTCAAGAATCAGACACTTAACCGACTGAGCCACCAGGTGCCCTTGTGTACAGGTTTTTTTGTTTTTTTGTTTTTTAAGATTTTATTTATTTATTTGACAGAGAGAGAGACACAGCGAGAGAGGGAACACAAGCAGGGGGAGTGGGAGACGGAGAAGCAGACCTCCTGCGGAGCAGGGAGCCCGATGCGGGGCTCGATCCCAGGACCTGGAATCATGACCTGAGCAGAAGGCAGACGCTTAACGACTGAGCCACCCAGGCGCCCCGTGTACAGGTGTTTATATGAACATTTGCATTTCTTGGGATAAAGTGTGCAATTGTTGGGTTGCATAGTAAATGCAATGTTTCATTTTGTAAGACACTGCCATAGTCTTTTTCAGCGTAGCTGTACCATTTTACATTTCCACCTGCAATGTATTAGTGATCCAGTTTCTCTACATCCTCACTAATAACACTTGACATAATCCCTATGTTTTTTTAAATTTTATCCATTCTGACAAGTGTGTACTGATAACTCAATGTGGTTATTATTTGCATTTACCTAGTGGCCAGTGATGTTGAATGTCATTTTGTGAACTTGCCGTCTACATATACTCTTCACTGAAATGTCTTTTGTCCATTTTCTAATAGGATTTTTTTTAAAAGATGTATTTATTTTAGAGATAGAGGAGGCCAGAGAGGGGGAAAGAGAGAATCTCAAGCCAACTCCCTGCTGAGCATGGAGCCCAATGGGGGGCTCGAACTCATGATCCTGAGATCATGACCTAAGCTGAAATCAAGAGTCAAGCACTTAACCGACTAAGCCACCCAGGTGCCCCTCTAATAGGATTTTTTAATACTGTTGAGTTTGAGTTTTCAAAGTTCTTTACATATTCTAGATACAAGTCCTTGACAGAAATATCTTGCAAATATTTTGTTCCAGGCTGTGGCCTATCTTTTTATTTTCTTCACAGGGTCCTTCCTAGAGTATACATTTTTAATTTTGACTAAAGTCATTGGCTACTGTAACAAATTACCATAAATTTGGTGGCTTAAAAAACCCAGAAATTTATTCTCTCATAGTCTGGGACCAGAAGTCTAAAATCAAAGTGTCAGCAGCCTACTCTGAAGGCTTTGGGGAGAATCTTCCTTGCCTCTTCCAGCTTCTGGTGGCTCTAAGTGTTCATTGGCTTGTGGTTGCAAAGCTCCAATCTTTGACTCTCTTCTGCCTCCTCCACTGTGTCTCCCTTTTGTACATCTCTCATAAGAACACTTAATGATTAGGTTTGATTTAGGACCCACTCAAATAATCCAGGATGATCTCATTCTGAGGTCCTTAATTATACCTGAAAAGATCATTTTTCCAAAGAAGGTCACATTTAAGGTTCCAGGGATTTGACAAGGACATATCTTTTGGAGGTCATCGTTCAACACACTACAGAGGGGAAACCACTGGAATGCATTGGGTGGGCATGGAGGTGCAGCATCCTGCTGGGCCTTGGTGACACTGGGGTTCGGGGCAGGGCAGTGAATAGTGACCCACACTTCTTTGCACTAGCTGGCTAAGTCTTGTTGTTGCTAAGTGGGGGACACAGGACCCCAACTGACACTACCCCAGGAGGGATATCAGAGGACCACTACCTGCTTTTGCTGGGTGGAAGATGGAAAATCAGCCCCCAGGTTAGTCAGCCTATACCACCTGGAAGGGCAGTCATAGTGCTACTTCTGCTCAACTCTGTCAGAGCACCACCACCTGCTTCTGTGGGATGGAAGCAAGGTGGAGTGTAAGATCATCTCTCTACTTTGCCCCACTGAAACCAAAGAGTGAGTGGGCACAGTTTTTAGGTTGATGTTTGGCTGCTGTAGATTTTGTTCCATTAGGCCACCCTTTTGTTCATAGCTACTTCTAGAGCTATGAGGAAGAAGCTTTTGTTGTTGTTCCTGCCAGGTGGTGGTTCCAGGTTCCTGTTTGGAATATATGGAAGGCAACAAGGAGACCCCGACAATGACTGCTATGTCATTCCTCAAGTCCTAAGGTCACTAGGCAGTTTGCCGCCTTCTTTTTACACATGCTTGAATCTTCATATGCTTCTATGCAGAGTCTTTTAGTTTTAAGAGGAAGGATTTGGGAGGAATGGGTTACTACAGCTTGGCCAGAACCAGAAACTGATTCATGATTCATTCAATTTTAAATTTTAGATACCATTCTTCATACATTCTATTGGAATTCTTCTCAATTTTTATGAGAAGATCATAAAATGATCTTTTTATTTGTAAATGATCAATTTAAGCAGTAAGCAAAGAAAAAACAATTAAAAATATATTTTAATTTTTAATTAGTGCTGACCTCTGACTGTGTATGTTTTCTTACTGATCCTTTTGCAGAGTATTTTCCAGGGGAAAAAAAGCAACAGATAAAAGTGCATTAAGAACACTTGTTATTAACATCATTCTTATATGATTAAAAACTATATTTAATGCTGTTCTCTTGTACAACTAGGAGTTCTTATTTCCACAGAATGCCTTCAGTAATTTGTACAAGGATACGGTCTAGAATAGTTTAACAGTGTTTATGCATACTGACTTGGAAGTAAACTGCAGTAACTGCCACACATGCTTTTCTACGGCTCACTTCTTTAGGAATGATGAGTGACTGCTATGAATGGTACCCACATCCTACTGGAGCTCTGAGTGTCTTTATTCCATCCTTGGCACTGAGGACGAAGCTTACTAAGTTGGAAGGCATGGTTGCTTCAATTACTGATGGGGAGAATTTTCCTCTCATTTCTGTCTGGATAAACATCACTAGTTTGGAATGTGCTGGGTTCCTGTAAACAAAGGAAGAGTTAAAAAATATAAAGATTTTTAGATTTATCTATTGAATTTATAACTGATAGAAAGCAGGATTATTGTCTCATTCACCATGGATTCCCTCCAAAGTGCTGATGATAGGACAGTTACTGAAGGAAGGGGGGAAGGAAGGATACAAAAAAAGGGCAGAGTGATTTGTACTCATAAACATTTTACATAAAAATATTAAGTAGTCAGACTATACGTTACAGTCTTCAGTCAGCTTTTCCTTTTTGTCATTTTGTTAACTTTTTAAAAAAATTACAAAAGTAATGTATGCTTATAAAAATTTAAACAATACAGAATTTTCATAATTATCCTGTTCCCCAGAACTAATCACTATTTATACTTTTGTCTGTATCTTTTCAGACTATTGTCTATGTATATACAAAGATAGCATACATATATGTATACCTACCCCACACATTTTTTTTTCAAAAATAAGATAATTTTTTTCTGCAACTAGCTTTATTTTCCCTCTTAGTAGGATATCATGCACTTCTTTCTGCTAATACATACATATCCACTTGTTTTTCATAACTGTATTATAATATAATTATAGTATTTCATTCTCTATGTAATCAATCCTTTATTGATTATCAGTTGGGTTTTTCCTTCACTTTTTGCTACTATAAATAAAGCTGCAATAAAACATCTTTGTAATGTATCCATTTGCACTTTTTTTTTTAAGATTTTATTTATTTATTTGAGAGAGAGAATGAGATAGAGAGAGCATGAGAGGGGGGAGGGTCAGAGGGAGAAGCAGACTCCCTGCCAAGCAGGGAGCCCGATGCGGGACTCGATCCAGGGACTCCAGGATCATGACCTGAGCCGAAGGCAGTCGCTTAACCAACTGAGCCACCCAGGCGCCCCCATTTGCACTTTCTACAAATACATGGAATTTCTAGGTCAAAGGTTTTGTGCATTTAACATTTTGAAATATTCTTTCCAAATGACATTAGGAGGACTGTAGTATTTTATATTCTAATCCAGTAATCTTCAAACTGGAAAATGTGAAGACTTTCCAAAGGGTATGAGAGAATGAATAACATTTAAATGAATAAATTTACAAATCTCTAACTTCCATATGTACCTTTTCCCTAGACTGATCTGAGTCCATCTCTGATGGAAATGTAGGCTTCTCCTTTTCCACTAGCCTGTTCATATCATCCTTCTTCTGTTGCTTTACAGAACAAAGGTACTGTCATCTTCCCTGAATACTATGGTACTTTACTCTGGCATATAAAAAAGTGAATGACAGAAAGTGAATGACTAGTGATTGGGTAATAAATCCTTACCAAGTCATGTCGTCAATTCTTTGCTTTCAATAAAATTTAGTTGTCAGCTGATAGGTCATTAAAAATAGTTTTTGATTATAGGTCACTATGTAATTTGTGGTATATAACACAAAAGAATTCAAGGCATTTAATGAAAGTCCTGGAATTACACTCTTTTCATTTTAACCCATTTATTTATGCAAACATTTTCTCAGTGCTTACATTCATAAAAATGCCAAGTAGGAGTAGACAATAGTAAGTGCTATCTCAATTTATTAGTATTACCAATACACAGTTAAATGAGTTGTAATTGTTAGAAGCATGGACTCTGGAACCAGTTTGCACTGGTTTGAAGCTGAGCTTTGCTATTACCTATGTTTAACCTCGAGAAAATTACTTCATCTCTCTGGACTTCCATTTTCTTTCTGCAAAATAGAGATAGTAGTACTACCTACTTCACGAGGTTATTGGGAGGATCAAATGAACCGATATATGTAAGTTGTTTATAAAGTTCCTGGCACAAAATAAGTGCTATCTAATTTTTGCTAATAATAAAAGGTGTGTTTTCAATAAGTTTTCTTTTATATTTAGTAGTTATATAACATAAATATATTTTTTACTTTGATCATGTAATAATAATTTAATCTGTACACACATATATTTTGTAACATTTAGATACTTAAGGTCACAGGAAATAAAATGGATTTTTAAAATTAAGCATGTATTTTTTCAAAGAAGAATGACAGGGTGATTAATAAAAGAATAAAAGAATTCAAACCATAAAATATATTCTATTAGGACTAAATTATATGAGGGGAAAAAAGTAAGAATGTGGGAGCAAGGAGAAAATCAATGATGTAAATTTCTGACTGTTAGAGGTTGTATGTATTTTGAAATTGATAGTTATGGTAGGTTTCCAGTTATTATGGTATTCAGAGTTTATTGGGTATGTTTACAAGAATGATATAACACGTTTTTTAAGTGTCAATATTTAGAGTGCTGAAATTTGCACCCTCTTAATCTTATGAAAAAATTTAATATCAATTTAAAACTGTGCAAGGCAAAGTACAGTTTTACAAAATTCTTTTGGGGGGTATGAAGACCACTCCTCCAACAAACCCTGTGTCCATTTTCTTATACTCTTGTCTATGGAGTTTAGACTATTTTCACAGTGCCTTAGGCAGCTAGATTGAGAACATTCACCAGCTGTTGAAAAGGTTTTAAATCTCTATTTGAGTTTGTTAGGGCTTTACATGCTTCAGAAAACCTTTCCAGTATTTACTAAACAGTACCTTTACTACTGATAGTAAGTTTTATAAGTTTACTACATGACTTGTTTACAAATGTTGCCTGCCCAAAATGTTGTGCTGCGTGGAAAGAGAGATACAAAAGAGTCACTTTTTTGTGAGTACCTTTCTCTGAGACTATGGATGAGACTGTATCTTTTCCTCTAACAGGATGCTAGGCAGAGCTCCCACCCTAGATGGGATGTCTAGATCAGAGCTTTTGTCCCATGTTTTTTGCAGTGGAAAGGGAAAATTGACAAGATGCAAGAAGGAGACTTAGCCTGTGAAACACACATCAGAATGTGTAGCTTCCCAACTACAGTCCCTGCCAACCGTTGATTTATCCAACTGATCTGAAGCAGTAATCCTTCCCTTGTTTTGATTTCTCCTGCTGTGGAGAATAAAGTTTGACCATAGATTCAAAATTGACAGGTGGCTGGAAAGACCACCATTGTCACCATCTGCACCAATGATCCTGTCCATTAATATGCGTAACTGTGAATTTCAGTTCTCTAATTCAGTAGAGAAAATATTAAGGAATACAGTCTAAAATGTAATTTTATTTTGACTTTCTTCATGTTTTTTTTTTTTCTCCTCTGATTGAGAGGTTTATATCTGGCCAATATAAAATTTTACATGTTTTTTTTTTTTTAAGATTTTATTTATTTATTTGTGAGAGAGAGAATGAGAGAGAGCACATGAGAGGGGGGAGGGCCAGAGGGAGAAGCAGACTCCCTGCCGAGCAGGGAGCCCAACGCGGGACTCGATCCAGGGACTCCGGGATCATGACCTGAGCCAAAGGCAGTAGCCCAACCAACTGAGCCACCCAGGCGCCCAAAATTTTACATGTTTTTATGTACCAATATCTTTTACTTGTATGAAATCATTTAGCAAAAGCTAAAACTTAAGGAATTTGTGAAATGATATACATTGAATTAATGTACATACATTTACAAAATACGTGTATTTTATGTTACCATTTATTCCTAGGCTGGTTACCTATAGGCAGTGACTCCTCTGATTTCTCCTAGCTCTTTCCAAATTTACCTATTGTAGGTCTCATTCTGCAGGTATTTGTAGGTAGTCCACTGGAAAGAATTCATTTAAGGTAAAGCATTCATTGCTGATAAATGTGAGCGTATTATAATTCTAGGGAAATGTATTTTTAATTTACAAAAAGTCCTTAATAATTCACAGAAGTAACTCAAACAGAAATATAAATCATCAGGTTAAGATTCACTGGAGATGAGGGGATAGAGGGGAATGTGTATGTATGACTAGCCACAGAGACCTCAAACCATACTTTATAGGGAATGATCCATTCTGATGATGAAAATACTTACAAAAATTAATTGCATTTAGGGGCAATTTTTTTTCCCCTAACAGAATATGGTAGCACACACTCCTGCCAGTGAGTTAGGAAACCTTTAGTAGAAATGACAAATTGAACTAAAAAACTTGTTAAAATAGAATAAATACATGCAAGTAACACTTACTCTTGCAGAGAACATATACAGTCATAAGCATGGTTATAACCACGGATATAATTTGAAGATGCAGGATATGCTGGAAAATCCACACTGTTAGCTAAGGGATTTAAAAAAAAATAAAATGAAGCCTATTCCACACAAAGATGAAAAATTATGTTTCAAGTAGCATATTTTTAAAAATGTATGATATAGCATTTAATTTAATTTAGTTATCATCAGCACTGATATTAGTTTTATACATGTATATATACATGTTTGTACACATGCATGTGTACACAGACCAAAACTGAGAAAATACCAGTATGAGCACTACCGTCCTCTCAAATTTTCTCATGCCATTATCGCTAAAGATGCTGTTACCTTTTACATACAAGAAAAAGTATTAAAAATATCATTTAATTACTTTCTGAGATTTGAAGCAAAAGAAGAAATCACAAAGGAAAAGACTATTCCATGAGGGTAGTGGGTTTATAGATTTTTTTTTTTGGGGTGATCATTATTTTTTTATTTATTATTTTTTAAAGATTAGATCCTTTTTAATCTACTTATTTTTTAAGTTTTTATTTGAATTCCAGTTAGTTAACATACAGTGGAATATTAGTTTCGGGTGTACAATATATGTGATTCAACATTTATGTACAACATGTTCATCATTTTCTATTTTTATTGATTGATTGATTGATTTAAAAGATTTTATTTATTTATTTGACAGAGAGAGGCAGTGAGAGAGGGAACACAAGCAGGGGGAGTGGGAGAGCAAGAAGCAGACTTCCCATGGAGCAGGGAGCCCAATGTGGGGCTCGATCCCAGGACCCCGAGATCATGACCTGAGCCGAAGGCAGACGCTTAACGACTGAGCCACCCAGGCGCCCCCATGTTCATCATTTTCTAAATAAAATATTTGACATGGTTATTTTGTCTACCAATAAAGAGAGTTTAAATGCTCTTTTCTGCCGGAGCACCTGGTGGCCTAGTTGGTTAAGCATCCAGCTCAGGTCGTGATCTCAGGGTCCTGGGATCGAGCCCTGGGTCGGGCTCCATGTCCAGCATGGAGTCAGCTTGGGATTTTTCTCTCCCCTCCCCCTGCCCTCTCTCTGTAATATAAATAAATACATCTTTAAAAAAAAAATGCTCTTTTCTGCCAATTCCCTGTACCTAATTCAAAGCATAATTAAAAATCAGTAGCGTTTGTTTTAGGAATTATGCAGCATAACTACATTGTATGTGAATGTAAAAGGGAGGTGATTTGATTATGATTGTTCATGATAATTATATAGACTCTAAAAATATTTTTTAAAATATATATTTTTTTCTGTGCAACAGAGCCCATTGTGTTGGCATAGCGGTACTGCCAGAGGTGATTTTAACATATTTTTTCTCTGGTAAAATATGGAGATTATCCTTGCCTTTCTTTAAAATATTTTGTTGTTGTTATATTCCACAAACAAGTATGGGTCTTTTGTGAGGCATATCGTATGATAGCACAGATTTTGGAAACTCAGAAGACTTGAGTTTTAATTCTGGTTCAGGTGCTTATTAGCTATGTAACTTAATTTCTGTGAACTTTAGTTTCCTCATTGGTGAAATAATGCACACAAAATATTTAGCTCAAAGCAAGCTGCATAGTAAGTTAAACAACAACAAATGGAACATTAAGAAGAAAACTCAGTATTCATCAAAAATTCATTTAAAGAAAACTGCTTAGAGCAGATTTAGTATTGATCACTGGGTGATTGAGTACTACTACTATTTGTTGATTTTAACTTCCATAATTCTTTTTACCTTCCCTCTGACCACTAAAAATGAGATTGAAGTGGTCTGCTTCAAAATACAGAAAATAACAGATCTATAATTCAGACATGCAGTATTTTGTGCTGTAGCGGTGAATAAAATTTTATGTACTCTCATTTAAGGAGACAACTCAGTGACAACTGTATGAAACTATAAGAGACACCTACAGAGAAGCGCTGGATCTCAGGCCTTAGGGGCCTGCTGCAATAGAACTGTGTTTAAGTGAGTGCAGTTAGCAGAATGATGACGCAATCTGGACTCTGAAACTTGAGTCCTAGACAGAGCAGAGCAACTGAAACCTTGTTGGAAAATAATAATTAACAGCACTTAACTGTCCTATCCCCAAGAAGTTTACGATAGAGAAGTCTATTCAGATAGGAATGGTGAGATTAAATTGAAATCTGGAGAAAAATAGGGCTCTAGGCCACTGTCCTACCAAAGTCCCTTCACCAGGAGTTACTGCATTTATCTGAGTCCAAAGATCTTTATGGTATGAACTGGTATGTTTTAAGTGAATAAAGCAAGTTAGGAAATAATTACACATTTGCATTTTACATAGTGATACATTTTCAGGAGGGCTAAGGATATATCAAAACCTCCAATTTCTAAAAGAAATACAAGCACATTTATATAAAGACTAATCTAATGAAAATTTCTTCCAGAATTTTATCAGTTACTGGATATGCCCATTCTACACAATTCAAATATAACATTATATATCCAAAGATTAACTTTGTGTCTTAGTAGTTTTAAAATACATGCTGTGAGGTTTTTGCCTGCAAGTATCTGTCCATACCCAGGGCTACATGGTATAAACTGCAAAAAGGCAAGCAAGAGATGCCATCATTATTGACTGATGTAAATGGCACCTCCAGTGTTGGGTAAAAGGTCAGGATTCTTTGTCTATATGATACATATGTTTATTGGTCTCACTAAGTAAATGAAAAAATAAAAATGAATTGAAAACACAGTATCTTCCAAACTGTGGGTTAAAGGAAAACACATTCATTAATGTCTCATATTAATTCCAAAATGTGGGCAAAATGTTTCAACTTACAACTGATAATATCCATATTCCCTTCGTAGTGCTTGAGGTACACTAAGTCGATAAAGTCTCGGGGGGAAATTGAGCCCATGGCAAAACTTTGTGTAATGGTATGACATATGAATGTGTCCTGGAACAAATCAAACCATAAAGATTGCAAAAGTTATTTGATATCTATTCTTTGTATCACTTCCCAAAGAATTTCACTGCATAAGGTTAGCTACTATTTGGAAAAAGCAGGGCTTCGAAGTTAAAAGAAGTTATCATCTTGCATTTTCAGTGTTAAAGGAACATTAGATCTATAAGTGCAAGGTAACAAAAGCAAAATTAAACAAGTGGGACTACATCAAACTAAAAAGCTCTTCACAGCAAAGGAAACCATAAATAAAATGAAAAGGCAATGTATAGAATGGGAGAAAGTAATTTGCAAATCATATATCTGGTAAGGAATTAATGTAAGTGCAGAAAATTCAGAATGGAATCTTGTTGTCATCTATTCTTTGAATTTTTATTTTATTTTTTTATTATTTTTTTCAAAGATTTTATTTATTCATTTGACAGAGAGAGACACAGCAAGAGAGGGAACACAAGCAGGGGGAGTGGGAGAGGGAGAAGCAGGCTTCCCGCCAAGCAGGGAGCCCGATGCGGGGCTCGATCCCAGGACCCTGGGATCATGACCTGACCCGAAGGCAGACGCTTAATGACTGAGCCACCCAGGTGCCCCTACTCTTTGAATTTTTAGATGAAGACATTGAAGCCTAAGAGATTAAATCACATGCGAAACTAGAGATAAGTACAGAACTAGAACCCATGTTCCTGATTCCCAGGACAGTACTATTTCTACCTGTTCACACTGGCTAGGTAATATATTCTGAAAAATACAGTGATTTAGCACCCTGGTGCCTCAGGTCCTGCCTCTCTGCCTGCACCCTGTCTTGACCTCCCCATGTGGCTCCTGGAGGTGTGCCGTGTACTTTTTCCAGGACTTGTGAGTAATAAACTTCTCTATTTCAATTTCTCTTGTGGTCTTTTGTTGAAATGTGGCTCACCATCTGGCACTCTGTGCTCCATTTAACAAATGCCAATTTAACAAAGTTGGAATAGTCCTCCTCTCCCAGGCTGTGACTAAGGATTAACGAACTGCTGTTGATCTCATTTGTCTAGTGTCGGATGTCATGTGTTTGATCACCCCCTATAACCCTAAAGCAGGAATCCCTCCCTCATTAATGGGGGTGAATGAATCAGTTAAAACACATCCCTGGAGATGCATACTATAAACATTCATAGGAAGGTAAAATAATTCTTACATGTAATGCTACTCAGAGATATGTAGTATATTGGAAAGGGCATAGAATTTGGAATTAGGAGATCAAGTGTTAAGTGATGGTTCTACCACATATTGGCTGTGGCGTCCCTGGGCAAATCACATAATTGCTCTGAATCTGTTGCTAGGTTTTTTTGATGCCAAATATAGTATTCTTTCCATTATTACAGCTGACTTGCAGTAATAGCAGAAATATATGAAGTATGAATGGAACTGTATAATCAGTCATGAAAGAAACAGTCCAAGGTTTGAATTTTTATTTCTGATGGACTATGTTTCTCAAACTGAATGTTTAAATCCCAAGAGGGTAATGGAAAGGTGTTTTTTGTGGATAGGAACTTCAGGACCTTTCTACAAAATGAAACATTTACTTTCCTGGGCTTTTCTACAACCTCTCCTCACTCCCAAGCCTTAAATTCAATTTAATAAATGGAGGCAAAGGTAACCTACAGAATTCTAAGCAAATGATAAGGTGATGGCAGATACGTGGGACATTTGTTTTGATGTGTGGAATGTAGCTTGGAGACACTAAGGACCAAAGACCTGGAATTTTACAAAAGCAATTGTTTGTGAAAATCATAAAAGTTTGCTTTATGACTCAATTTTTCAAAACAGCTTATTGAGGGGCACCTGGGTGGCTCAGTTGGTTAAGCATCTGCCTTTGGCTCAGATCATGATCTTGGGTTCCTGGGATCGAGCCCCATGTTGGGCTCCTTGCTCAGTGGGGACTCTGCTTCTCCCTCTCCCTCTGCTCCTCCCCACCACTCGTGCTCTCTTTCTCTGGCTCAAATAAATAAATAAAATCTTAAAAAAAAAAAAAGAACATCTTATTGAGGTATAATGTACATACCACAAAGTATAGCAGTCTTTTTTTTTTTTAAAGATTTTATTTATTTATTTGAGAGACAGAGAATAAGAGAGAGAGCACATGAGAGGAGGGAGGTTCAGAGGGAGAAGCAGACTCCCCGTTGAGCAGGGAGCCTGATGTGGGACTCGATCCTGGGACTCCAGGATCATGACCTGAGCTGAAGGCAGTTGCTTAACCAACTGAGTCACCCAGGTGCCCCAAAGTATAGCAGTCTTAATAAATAAGAGGTCTATAGTGCGCTGCCCTAATTCTCTCTTAAATTCGGTCTTTTCTCTCACCTCTACGACTTCTTAAACTTTCTACTCTAATTACTTGTATTTTTCTTTTCTCTTTGTTTTTATTCTCCCCCTTCATCTATTTAATTGAGATAATATATTTGAAAGCAAGTCTAAAACTACAACCATCTATATAACGTTATTCCATACTGTATCCTTACTCTTAAAAAAAGTTACATGCTGTTTGCTCTTAAGTCCCTACAGTATGTGTTTGCATTATTCCTGTTATTTAATGTATTATAACTAAGATAAATCTACTGACTTCCTAGCAACAAGGCATGCCTAATCTTTTTCTCCACCTAATGGAGGAGGTGAATACATAAAGTTCAAACCCCTCAAGACAAAAGACACACACCTGCAAGAGCTAGCTAGATTCAGAATGTGCTAAGTCTTTACAATAGAATCAAGCTAATCGGAATTAAACTTTTGACTAATTAAGAGGGAAGTTTTAAGACTTTTATGAAGATTTCAATTCTAGCCTATAAAATATGAAGTGTCTATATCATACTGTCTACATCACACAGGTTTAATATACTTAAATCACTAATAAAACTAAAAATATATTGATACAGTAAAAGTCCAATATCATACAGCAAATTACCAAATCAATCTTGTGTACCATATTATACACTTTCAATGATTTATCCCATGCAACTCTGTTTTCAGGTTTGTAGAGGAAATCAGACAGTTTAGTTATTGATTCTGGAATTATTCCTTCAACACGATATCTGCAGTTAACAAAACAGAAAAAAATCAAAATTTAACAAGTTTCGTCTAAGCTCAAAATATGATGCTATTATAGTATAAAGTAGGTTAATTTAGCAAATAACAGGAAAGAACATTTGAAAGTAATATCAGCAATTCAAAACACTAATTTCAATTGGAAGTAGCCAGGTTTATTTAAATAAGCACTGCAATAACTAAGTTATTTCAAAATGTATTTTTCTACAAATCTTGTTTATACTGTTCTATTGTTGTCTTTTTAGAGGGGGCTACTTTCTTTTAGGATTTTTCTAAAATCTTTTTCATAAATATTTACCTGCCATATTTATCCTAAGCCAAATGTAATTGATGAGAAGTTTGTGTGGTTACACATTATCTTTTTTTTTTTTTTTTTAAAGATTTTATTTGACGGAGAGAGAGACACAGCGAGAGAGGGAACATAAGCAGGGGGAGTGGGAGAAGGAGAAGCAGGCTTCCTGCTGAACAGGGAGCCCGATGCGGGGCTCGATCCCAGGACCCTGGGATCATGACCTGACCCGAAGGCAGACGCTTAACGACTGAGCCACCCAGGCGCCCCGTAGCCCCAATTCTTAATTTAAGGATGTAATGTTTCTAAAGCAGTGGTCAGCAAATTTTTCAGGCCAGATGGTAAATAATTCAGGCTTTGCAGGCCACATGATCTATGTTGCAACTATTCAACTTCGCTAGGGTAGCAGTAAAGTAGCCATAGACAATATATAATGAATGAGCATGTCTGTTATAATTGAACCTTATTCATAGACAGTGACTTTTGAATTTCATTTATTTTTTTATTTTATTTTATTTAAAAAAATTTTTTTTTAAGATTTTATTTATTTATTGAGAGAGAGAATGAGAGACAGAGAGCATGAGAGGGAGGAAGGTCAGAGGGAGAAGCAGACTCCCTGCTGAGCAGGGAGCCCGATGTGGGACTCGATCCCCAGACTCCAGGATCATGACCTGAGCTGAAGGCAGTCGCTCAACCAACTGAGCCACCCAGGCGCCCCTGAATTTCATTTATTTTTAACATGTCAGGATTTGGGCAAGTAACTAACCTTTGTGTTTGTCCATCACTTAAATTAGATGTGGTTATCCATCAATGGAATTAAGACAAGATGAGTAAACTGGATTAAAACTCACTATTTAGGAGAAGGTTGTTGAATAAAAACGAAGTCTGAATAATATTGGCTGTACTCTTCTCCCTGTTAATGATTCTTTCCAAACTGAGGAGATAGTTTTAAGTAAAATCAAAATTTAAAAAAAAAAAAAAAACTCTAAAAAGTTAAAAGTCCTGGGAGAAGTGAGATAAAAACCAAATACTATTATTAGTCTAAATAATTGTCATATTTATGAATGGTTCTTCCTCTAAAACTTTGTTTTTATGATTTGGCAAATAAATAAGGAATTCATTAGACTATTTCTTTGTACGTTAATTTCTCTTTAAAAGCTCAGTTAGTCCTTAATTTTCTTTATGAGATACCCTCAAATTTCCTTACTATGTAATGTTTCCTTCCTTCAGATCTACAAAGTTTTTAAGAGTTCATTATTAAGCTCTGAATAAGATAGTGAGAAAACAACCTGGGATAATTATCAGGTCCTGTGAAAAAGAAGTCAGATATAATACAGTTAAAATTTTTTTTTTTTAAGATTTTTTTTTTTTTTTTTTTAATTTAACAGAGATAGCGTAAGTAGGCAGAGCGGCAGACAGAGGGAGAGGGAGAAGCAGGCTCTCCACCGAGCAGGGAGCCCGATGCGGGGCTTGATCCCAGGACCCTGGGATCATGACCTGAGCCGAAGGCAGATGCTTAACCGACTGAGCCACCCACGCGCCCCAATACAGTTAAAATTTAAGTACAAAACTATGAAGGGATTTGTATATGCTACCATGGATTTTTTTTATTAATCTGTTCTCTCTAATTATACTATAAACTTTGAGGATAAAACTTTTTTTTTTAAAGATTTTATTTATTTTGACAGAGAGAAAGAGAGAGTACAAGCAGGGGGAGTGGCAGGCAGAGGGAGAGGGAGAAGCAGGCTCCCTCAGCAGGGAGCCGGATGCGGGACTCAATCCCAGGACTCTGGGATCATGACCTGAGCCGAAGGCAGTCGCTTAACCGTCTGAGCCACCCAGGCGCCCCGTGGATAAAACCTTTTTGTATTTCTAACTAATATATACAGATCTTCCTTGATTTATGATGAGGTTACACTGAGATAAACCATCATAAGTCAAGAGTATCTTAAATTGAAAACGCATTTAATACACCGAACTAACATCATAGCTTAGCCTCGCCTGCGGTAATCTGACACAAAGCCTATTTTATAAGAAAGTGTTGACTATCTCATGTGATTTAGGCAAAGGTCCCTAATATACATATAAGTTTATCAATATTTGAGGATTTGTGATTTTTCCCTATCTACTATTTAGGACAGGGTTTGGCAACCTATGGTCTATAGGTCAATCTAGCCTACTTCCTGTTTTTGTAATTAGTTTTACTGAAACACAGCCATACTTATTCATCAATGTATTGTCTGTCTACTAATGTTAGTGCCCTTGTGCTGTAATAGCATGAACATTTATTGTCTATTTATGTACTGTGTTTCTATGCTATAATGACAGAGCTAAGTAGTTGTAACAGAGACCACAGCAGCTACAAAGCCTAAAATATTTACTTACTCTCTACCCCTGGTTTAGGCTGTCTACTCAGTGGCTGATTTGTTTATTTTCCAGTCATTTGTAAAGGTGAGAAAAGTATAAGTTACAGGTATTATATGACTACAAGGCAGAAATTATTTATTTTGCTTTTTGGAAGATTATAAAACATAGTTAAAGTGGTGTCTTGGGCAGAGGGTAGGCTACTAGTCAGAAATTACCTTATCTTAATTCACTAACTGGAGGTCTATTAGAGTTAGTGGCTTTTAAAAATATGTAAACATCAAGCCTCTCTGAAAACACAAAACATTTATGTGTCTTGAGTACTTGAGCCTATCACTCTTCAGAGGCTCTTCAGAGAGATCAATTTTGTCATACTTGAATCTAAGAACTATATTCTTATATCTATTGATCGTTAAGATGAACAGTTCACTAGATATTTTACTATGATCTATAATAAAGCTTTGTTCTCATTATACGTGAAGTGATCTCAGGTCAAATTAAAAATATTTTAACTATTTTCTCTTGTCTTTTACAGTTTCTGACAAACTTTAGCTGGTATATGGAATAACTGATAGATTGGAATACATTGTTACACTTTTTACAGACCATACATTTCATGAAGCTTTCAGGCTGCAATGGAAACCCTTTAATATGTGTGGATTTGTATCAACACACTAATTTTAATGTTTCCAAATCACTTTATAGCCTTTTATGATTTTTGTGAATGAATGCCAAAAGAGTAACTAGAAGGATGAGGGGGGGAATGTCTATTTTGGCACACTAGAATGGCAAACTTGGGGAAGCATCTGTAAGATGATAAAATAGTCACAGGCTTTTAGTGATCATATTTTTGTCATATCCTATGTGATATTAGAGTTGGGGGTGGGACTTCCAGAGTAGCTGTGTGAGGATTTTAGTAAACCCTCCTCCATAGTGAAATAACTGATGAAATTACTTTAAGAAACAACAATTTAAATTCCCTAGAAAATGACCTAAGGACATTCAGGAAATGGAGAAACATTCATTCAAAAAAACCTACTAAATCTAGGTAAGAAAAGAGTCTGTAAGTCACCAACCCTTATCTGTACCGATTGAGCCACAATCAGCTTCTAGGCAACACCTCCTCACCCCTGAAAGCCAAAGAGGACCTCCCTCTCCCCACTAATTCCCAGTCTGCGCTATGGTTTCATCCTAGGAGGGGTGGGATACTGACATCTCTCATTCTTGCACCCCCCAGCTCATGCTGCATACTCTATGCCCAGCAGGCACTGCTGAGAAGACTGGGGTTTCATTATCCCCACCCAGAGTTTACTGATAGGGTGAACTCTGTCCAATGCAGTAAATACTGGGGCTTATTTCCCCTCCCCCCTACAAGAGGGGCAAGCTGAAGTCATGGTACCATTTCTCCCCAATGCCACCCTCACATCCCCTTCCTCCTCATGGATGGAGGTGTCACTCAGCTCCAGTAATAGTGCATAGGTTCTGCTCAGGGGCAAAGGCAAGACGAAATGAGCTGGCAGCATCTCAGCTGTGGCTGAGAAAATGGATTTCATGGGCGCCTGGGTGGCTCAGTCGTTAAGCGTCTGCCTTCGGCTCAGGTCATGATCTCAGGGTCCTGGGATCGAGCCCCGCATCGGGCTCTCTGCTCTGCGGAAGCCTGCTTCTCCCTCTCCCACTCCCCCGCTTGTGTTCCCTCTCTTGCTGTGGGTCTCTCTCTGTCAAAGAAATAAAATCTTAAAAAAAAAAAAAAGAAAGAAAGAAAATGGATTTCATTTGGAACAAAATGTGGAGAAATTTTTGAAAAAAAATACTTTGTTAGTGAACAATTAGAAGAATTATGTGGAACTAATGCAAAAGCACAAGAAGACCAGCCAGAAATAGGGAGAGATACAGTTAGATGAACAACATAAGATCACGCTCATCTCTGGCAGGGGGGTTCGGGTGTGGAAGGCTGTGTATATGCAGTAGACTGCCCTGGCTCAGAGCAAGTAGAGTGGATATCTTATGTTGCACCTATTCAAGATATTAGAATGGAGGTATAAGGATGCTTTTACTCAGAGCCATCAGAGCAGATACACTAGGCTGCCCCTATTAGAATAATTAGAATGGATGTACTAGGATACCCCTACTCAGAGCAATCAGAGTGGATGTATGGGCTGCCCCTATTTAGAGCAATCAGAGTGCACGTACTAGGCTGCTCCTACCTAGAGAAGAGGGGGTGTACTTGGCTGCCCCTACTCAGAGCAATCAGATTAGATGTACTAGGCTGCCTCTATGCAGAACAGTCAGAGTGTATACACTAGGATGTCCCTACTCAGAGCATTCTGATTGGATGTATCAGGCTGCCACTACTATGGAGTAATCAGAGTTAATGTGAAAGACTGCCCACTCAGAATAAGTATACTGGATGTACCAGACTGCTCCTATTCAGGAATAATCATACTAGATGTACTAGGCTGCCCCTACTCAGAACAATCATATTGGATGTACTAGGCTGCCCCTCACAGAAGCATTCAATGCAAGATAAGGGTTGGTGACTTACAAGCATTTTCCAAACTGAAAACTTCAATAAAGAGCTGAAGTCTTACTGGCTTAAGAGACTGAAATATAACATCTGGCACATAATATATTCTGACCACCTTAAAATAAAATCATACTCTTTGCTGCTGTTCTGGAAGAATGTCTGTATGCCCACGACTGTTCCCTCTGAGGAGTGATTGGTTACAGAACTTCCAAGCTAGCTGTCCCTGGCTCAGTGCAGGACAAAATCATAAAACTGCTGAATTGTGAAAACAGTCTGTAAGCCATACACAGATCTAACTGTAAAGGGTAAAAATTTTACTAGTTTGGGGGTCTTAAGCACAACTTGTGATCAATAAACAGCTTATGTTGACCCCTCCTATAGGTTAAAAGATCAAAACAAGGAAAAAAGTGATTTTGATAACATATGATGATCTATTTGCATTAATGTGATATCATGAGCAATGAATGAACAACTCTTAAGAATAAGATTAAAAATGTCAGCACAATTTCTCAGTGTAGTTATATTTGAAATAACAGGATCCTCAAAAGTATCCTCAAAAGCAGCTTTCAGAAAACATTACATATATCAGCAAGAGAAGTAAATTGGGGAAATAAACTTTATTTTTTAGTGGTTCATTTAATGGAAAGGTGAGATGTTTGAAAGGCCACAAAATACTACTGTAATCAAGAAAATACCAATCTGCTTTTATAGTAATTATTTCTTGAGGTAGAAATTTCCTATCTTAATGAATTATTCACTTGAAAGACTTTTTTTCCTGATTGTCTTTGTTTGAAAATGATTAGGTGGTACATAACTGCTCTAATTTATTAATATCACATTTCAACCCAGTGACTTTATAATTAATTTCTATTTCCTGATCACTAACAAGCAATGTTATAGCTAATGAAGCAGCACTGAATTCTAGATACATCAATGCCACTGAATTCAAAACAACTATCAAAAGGAAATTGTACTCACAGATTTCCATGGAATTTTTTAGAAGCCTTGCTGGAAACAGTTATCTTTTTCTCAAAGGGGAATAAAAATCCAGAAATAAATTAGCTGTCAGATACAGAAAAAAAAATAAAAATAAATACAAACAAACAAAAAGTAAAAATATATTTTTTGGTTATAAAAATATTTTTAGAAGTCTTTTTGAATCACTTCTCATTAAAAAATAAACTCTTGAAACATATTTAACTTGTTTTCTTACTGAAGTCTTAACCACTTTCCAGCCTGATGTATCTTGACTGTATTCTAAAACTTCTTGAGCAGTTTCTTGGGCAAGTGCCTTATAGTCCATCTACCTGCAAAGTTGTAAAAACAGACAACTGGTAAGAATATAACTATACAAAACAATTTTTAAATGCTGTATTACATTTTAATACTATTTCTACAGTATCTGTTACATAGTAATGAACAATAGCTACTTATTTTTTGTTAAGTTTTTACTTAATAATTGCTAAGTGTGTGAATGCATGAATTCCTTCTTCCTTCTTCATAATCTTTCAAATGAGAAAATGTGTACGGTACAAAGAGCAGGCTTTGGACTCAAAGAGACCTGGGTCAAATCCTGTCTCTGCCACTAGTTGTGAACCACATTATTTAATATTTCCATTTTTCCATTTTCTGGGATAATAACTAACTCTGTAGAATTAATGTGAGGATTAAATGAGATAATGCATTTAAATGTTCTCGCCTGTTGCCTGGGACATAATAGTTATTCAGTAAATCATTAATATTTCCAATAGCTTAATCATGCTTCCTTTCTCTTGTAAAGCATCATAATCTGTTGATCATGTGTTCTTGGGAATTAGTCTTTTTAAAGTGAGGGCAATGGCACTAAATGATCTGACATTTGGCTTCCTCTCCAAAGGCAACTCCTACCTGTCTTCTCTTCCACCTCAGCTCCAATCATATTGACCTGGCTGTTCCTCAAATACAACCGAGCATCTTCCTACCTCAGGATCTTTGTACTTGCTATTCATACTCTGCTTGTAACATTCTTTCCAAATGTGAATGACAGATTCCTCTTCATTGGTGTCTTTGTTTAAATGTTTCCTCTTGAGACAGGATCAAGTTCAAATCAATTCAATATGAACATATTTATGGAACCTTACTAGTGATTAGGTACTGTGGTAGGTATGGCAAAAACAGTTGAGTAAGATACTATTTCCGTTCTGAATGGGTTCAAGAAACTGGAGTCTCATTGGTCCTTTGGTTCATTATCTAGTTTTCAGTTAGGGTGGCTGTATGGTGGAAAGAATATGACAACACACAGCTGGATTCAAATCCTAACTTTGCCACTCACCACATACTATATTATTTTGAATAAATTGCTCAACCTTTGAACTTCAATTTTTACATGTATAGATTGGGGATGTTAATACCTATCTCATGGGGTCATTATAAGGATTAAGTGAGTTAATAAATGCAAAAGTGATTGAAACAGTGTGGGACCCCTTCTTGATGATCAGAAACATTAGTTTCTTTTCTTGAAATGACACATTTAAATCTACCTTTTAAAAAACTCTCCAAAGAGCTGCCTCAATAAAACTTCTTAAAGTTTAATTACCAGAACCATGTCTTAATTAGCTCACTTAAAGCTCTAGGTTGGATCATAAATCCACTTTCTTTTTTTTTTTTTTTAAAGATTTTATTTATTTATTTGACAGAGAGAGACACAGTAAGAGAGGGCACACAGCAGGGGAGTGGGAGAGGGAGAAGCAGGCTTCCCGCCAAGCAGGGAGCCCGATGTGGGGCTGATCCCAGGACCCTGGGATCATGACCTGAGCCGAAGGCAGACGCTTAACCGACTGAGCCACCCAGGCGCCCCATAAATCCACTTTCTCTTGTTTAGTTCTCCAGCAAGGCATAACACCTAGTTGACATCTATATTTGAAAAGCTTTAGAAAACCATTACAATTCCTTTTTCCTAGTAGACTTTTGGTTTCCTTACCTTTCCTAATAGATCTAGTCCAGAATTTTAATAATTATTGGGACTCTTCTCCAAATCCTTGTGGAGATCTCCATATCTCTTAACCTGTGAAGGAACAAAGTAGAATTATTTTGATCCATGAATTAAGTCAATATATTTGATCACTTCCTTTACATTTTCTCTGTGTCCTTTGTTTTTACTTTATGTCCTCATTAGGAAACATTTGGTATATATGCCCAGGATGAAAGAAAAAGGCAGTAAGAGAAATGTTAATAATTGTGTTTATGAAAAGAACCTTTAAGAAATTATCTTAAAGAAGGACAGGTTAAAAAAACATTCAGTGGAATGTAAATAAAGATGTCTCACTTTTTTAGCTCATGCCATTAACAGTCCTTGGCTAGTCCCTGACCTGTGCTTGTCCCAGCACATATAACTCAGTTCTTTATTTCCAATCAGCAACATACTTGATAGAGTGATCTAGAAAAGGCACCAATTATTGGAACATAGCACTAGAGTATAAATGCCTGCGGGGACTTCTACTCATTTTCAAATCACTAGCACTCACTGCCACAACAAATGTGTTTAATTGAGCCACTTAACTGAATTTTATAGCTTGTGGACTTTTTCATTTGCTAAGAAAAAAGGAAAGGCTAGTTTAGTGGGCCAGGGAGGGTGAAAAGAGAACAAAGAGCAAGCCCACAGTCGCATTACCTGGTGATGTAACATCGGATGACCTGGAACATATTCAGGTAGAGTAATGGTCTAGGATATCTTCACCCAGAGGGTCAGTGGAAAATAAACATAAACCAATATTGAGATGGCATCTTTTTTTGATACACCACTTGGTTGCAACTGGATTCTTCGCACCTCATATCCTGTCCCAGCCTCGTAGACAGAGTCACACATGTTGTTAGTGGGTCTTTACATCGGTTTGGATAATCTCCCTCTTTCTGGGCTGCCTGACTGGGTCCCCAGATCCGTGCTGGGTCGCTGCCATTCTTCCCTGGGAATCAAGGTCCCCAAGGAATTTGTTAAATCCCATCCCTGGCCAAACTCCCTCCTCCAATCCCGCATCTGCTCGGACGGAGTGTGAGGGCCCGGCAGCCAGACCAGAAGGGCCGGGCGCAGGGATGGGACGTGGAAGGCCCTGAGAAGAGAGCGAAGGATGTGGTCTGGGGAGCTCCAACCCCGGGTGGAGGTGGCGTCTCATCCTGGGAGGGGGTGCTCTGAAAGCCGAGAGGCCGAAGTCAAAACGGCAGCCGTCAGCGCCCCCGAGTCTCCTTCCCCACCTCACCCCCTCACACACTCCCGGGGAGCCCGCAGAGGGAAGCTCAGCCTGTCGTCAGCGCCGAGGGGCCCCAGAGAGCGGTGACGGAGGTGGGGAGAGCGTGCGGGGCAGCGACGCAGATGCCGTCCCGAGACACCCTCCCCACCTCCACCCCAGAGAGATGAGGAGGGGGAAACTACATTTCCCAGCATGGAGTGCTGCCAAACGCCCCGCGGCACCCCCTTTCCCGGCGGCCCCGCCCCTCGCCCCGCTGCCCAGGGGGCCGAGCGCCACGCATGCGCACCGCAAGCCAGCGCCATGTTGGATCAGTTTGAAAGCGAGCGCGGGCGTCGCGCTCCGCTGTGACGGCGGAGCAGGCTTCGAGCAAGCGGAGCCTGAGGCGGGGCCGTGTCCGGGTCGGGGATGCTTTGTCGCGTCTTCCGTCCGGTAACAGGCGCGGGCTTGTGGTGGAGAGTTGTGGACGTGTGCGTTTTTATCTCTTTTGGAGGCTTGGTCGGTGAGTTCGGCAGGAAAAGGTGGTGTATTTTCAAGCGGCGCCCCATCCTTTGACAGCCCGAGGGAAAGGCTAGACAAAGAGTGGCGTGGAGGGAAGAGGAAGATGTCTCCTGAGGGAAGGCGCGAGCGGACATTCCCCGTAGGAAGAGAACATCCTTATCGGGAGGCTCCCGAGAGGGGGAGGGTCCCGGACGAGGCGGGAGGGCCTTTTGAGCCTCGAGGCGTCGATTGCAGAGGGCGGGGCGGGAGGGGGCTTGGGCTTTAGGGGCCGTCACCTCGGAAGAAGTCCGTCCGCCCACGGGGGAGCCCACGCTTGCTGCCTAATAAATGGTTTCTGGGTGGACGTACCTCACTGAAGCCTGGGTCTGTTACCGCCGGGGCTGCTGCAATCCCGAAGGGGGTGTTTCCCAGGTAAGGGCGGAAGGGTTGAACCCCGACGCGTGGGGTGGGGAAAGGATGCTCTCGCGCAGGGGCCCAGCGATCTTCGCTTTCCGGCTTCATTAATTATTCTCTTCCTGTTGTAGAGTAAGCAAGTCGATGTTCGGTTTCAAAACATAAATCACAGAGCTGTTGTTTCTAGGAAGTTGTTCCTTTCCTGTGAGCTGTGCCCATTGTTTATTTAACACTGAACATTCTGTTTTTGAATCAAAGGTAGTTGACATTTTTTGCCGATCGTTTAACATTTTATTCTTCGGAATGATGGACTTCCTTTTGGCTATAGGAACGGAAGTGTTTACGGAAGAAATGGTAAGATGCATTGGATTTGTTTCCAAATAATCCTATGGAGGAAGTGGAGAGAAGTGGGTGGATAAAAGTTGGGGTATGTTGGTAATGGTTTGAAGAGGGATGATGGGTGCATAGGGTTTTATTAAACCATTCGTTCTACTTTTGTGTACTTTTGGAAGCTTTCCACAGTGAAAATTCACTGTGGATTTTCTTTCTGCCTCCTGTGAATTAAAATAGATGTTATTACCCACTTCCTGAGAACTGTGATCCAACAGCTTTATCTTTTAGAGGTTCGTTTTTGTTTTTAAAATAAGATTGGTGACCTGTACTGTGTTGGAATAAGGGAGAAAATGTTTGGTCAAGCAGTTATTCACTTGAGAAAGTTTAGACCTCATTAGTGAAAGGGGTAAAGAAAGAGCAAAGCTGACGTCGTCTAGCCATTCTTCGGAGATTGACCGACATCACAGCATTCAGGGAAATCAGAGGGGCTCAATAACCGTTATCCTGTGTTCCGCCGCTGCTTCCACTGACTGCTGTCCGCTCTCTTGCCAAGGCAGCGCATGCTCTAAAGCTGAGGCAGGAAGATGTTTTACTCTGTCTTGAAATGGGAAACTTTCCGTATTTTAAAGTCAAATTTGATAGTTATTAAGATTACATTAAAAGTTGTTATAACTTAAACATTCCCAAAATTACAGCCCAAAGTTAAACGTATTAACTTTATAACATTATAGGGTGTGTTAAGTCCTAGACATTAACATTAATTTTTCATTTTTAATACGGAAGATCCATTTCCACTGATTTAATTTTTTAAAAGAATGTCACATCATGTACTGAAGTCTTGTTATTTTTTAGTTTTTCAAATGTAGATCCTATTACTACCTTAAGGTAGACAGGAATTCTCTCAATTTTAGTAATGGAAAATCAGTAAGATGAGTATGTTGTCAATTATCTAAGTCTCTTTTAAAAGAGAGGGTGAATCTGTTTAACATAAGTGGAAATGGTAAGGATCCTGCCATAAATGGTGAGAAAATGATTAGCAGTGTTGTTTTAGGAAAAGAGCATTTTGCTAGCTCAGTAAACTTGGTAGTTTATTTCTTTATACTAAATATTGTAAATTATTTTGTTCTTGAGTTTTCCTGGGGGAAAGGGTTGGCTAAAGTTACATATTGGCATTTACAACATTGAAAGTGGATATTCTTTTCTGTTGTTTCTTCTTGTTTCTAATACCTCATTTGATGCCTTTAAAAATTTATTGAGCACCTACTATCTGTGATGCATGATAGTAGGCTTATGAAATGAAAAATATTCTGTATAGGAGAATGTTAGGTATTGTGATGTCATAGACTCTGTCCCCATAAGAAAGACCGTACCTCAGTAGTTTTTACGGCTTAAAAATAGTGAGGACTCTTCCCCAAGGACTACTCTCAGATAATTATGTATACAAAATTTCAGGAACATAGTAGGTACTCAATAAATGTTTCTAAATCAGTGATGAAGGAATTCAAGGTAATTACAGTAATAGAAAATCTATAATGTGCATTGCCTTAAAAGGATGATAGAAATGGATTTTATTCTTTAAAGAAGATTATAAAAAGTTTACATGTTTAGTAATTTCTCTCTGTATGGCTGTTATTCCTTTTAATGGAACTGTAACCTGTTGTTTTTGTATTACAGTTTTTAAGAGAAGTGAATAGAAATAAACCATTTTGAGGAAGCCATGGCAAAATCAATTACAAAACACAGAGTTTGTTCTCGGCAATCTTCAGTATCTTCTCTGTTAGCAAGCTGCAGCCTGAGTGGTAGTAATTCCTCTAACTCTGATGGCTCTTTTCAGTATAAGGATAAACTGTATAGTTCTGCATCTCAGGCTCTACAGGCCTATATTGATGATTTTGATTTAAGCCAAATGTATCCTGGTGCAAGCACTGGAAAGATTAACATTGAAAGATGTTCCGCTAATATACCAGAATTCTCCAACTGTATTTATAAACCAAAGAATGGTATGCTTTTATTTTTTATTTTTATTTATTTATTTATTTATTTAGTCTACTGATTTAAAGCATTTGAGAGATGTAGCCTTGAAAAACTAGACACTTTTTTTTGTTGTTGTTCCTTTGGGGTAAAAATGACTTTATAATATTGAGGTCTTGATATTTTTCTTAAATGATTCTGTAATTCTCTGGATCTCAGGAATTTTCAGCTAAAAGCTTCTTGTGACCTTGGAGGGAAGGTGATGAATGTAACTAATAACAGCAGGTGGTTGATCCTAAACCCTTAAGCCATTTTATTATAGCATAATGGAAACAGCATTGACTTGGTGGTTCTAGGTTTCATTAACTAGCTTAATGACTTTAAACAAACTTGTCTTTCTGAATTTATACTTGGTTAATCCCAGTTGACAGAATAAGACTCTATTAGTCTTCCTGATCTGTATTCTGTGGGACAATAATATAAGATGTTAAGAGTTTTTCCTTGATAAGGCTTCCACAAAGACAAGTTTGGAAAATGCATCTGTTGATAACCCAGGTAACACTTTACTAAGTACTTACGGAATGGCCCTAGTATGGAAAAAATTTGCATTCAACTCTTAGAAGTATGTGGGCATTGTATTCTGGAAGAGTATTAGAACAGATGTTCTCTTTGTGTTAATGCTGTTGCAGGTTTAGTAGGCAGAAAGCAAACTATTTTTCCACCTAGTTTAATAGCATATTTTTCTCCTAAATTGCAGCCAGTGTTGAGTGACCAATATTAATGTGAGTGTATTAGTGCATCAGGTATGTCTAGATGAAAAAAGTTGAAGACACAGTAAATTAAAGAAAAGGGAAAATTTAAGAGTTTGAGAGAAAAATGTAGAACTTAGTTAAAGTAAATTGGAGAGATGGGAGGAAAAAGCACATTGTATTTCATCAACCTATACCTTTTATACTTTCAATCAAAGTTTTAGTGAAGATAAAGGGAAGCAGCAAGAATGATTCTTAAATTCTTAATTCTGTTTACTGTTGACTATTATGAAGTATTGTTATATGTAATAGGAAAATAAACAGAACTCTGCTTTGTTTTTCAGCTTTTGAAAATCTTGATCCCAAAAAATGCTCCTCTTCATCCTGTAGAAGAAAGACTGTTAATGACATAGACTCCATTAGCCTAACAACTGATGATCTATTAAAACTTCCAGCAGATGGATCATTTTCTTTAACTTGCATTGGATCAAGTCACCAAATTAGCAAGAAAAACAAGAAATGCATTCGAAGACTGAGTTCCTCGGATACTGAAAAGAATCAAAATTTTCGAGAACCTTCCACTCCCATGTGCAAAGATAACTTAGTTACTCCTGTTGTATACACAAATATAAATGGAAAGCAACGTGGTAGGCTAAAAAAAACAAAACTTGTGAATAAGACTAATAAGTGGGTTTCTGAACCATCTTTATCATTTTCCAAGAAGTTGTCTTTCAAAGACAGTTCAGAACACAAACTTGAAAAGAATTATCCAAGATGGCTCACTAGCCAGAAATCTGACCTTAATGTTTCAGGAATAACTAGTCTACCTGATTTCACATACCCAGTCTGGCTCCACCATCAAGACTTGCTACCTGATACAAATAGTCAAAGGATTTCTAAAATATTTAAAGAAGATCATTGTTCCCCTAGACATAGTTACCAGGCACAAAGAACTTCTCGACTTATGAATAAATTGGATAGTTTTGAATATTCTTTTGAACCCTCAAACATTTCAGACTCCTTGAGTGATGATAAAGGATTAGTTAATGAATATAAATGTGATTCTGAACATAGCCAGTGTCAATGTGAGAATCCAGTTCTCCCAGGACAAACCAAAAAGCCATTCAGTGGTAATTGTTTTGTTTTTAGAGAATTTTTTTTTTTTTTTAAAGATGTATTTATTTGAGAGAGAGAGAATGAGAGACAGAGAGCATGAGAGGGAGGAGGGTCAGAGGGAGAAGCAGACTCCCTGCCGAGCAGGGAGCCCGATGCGGGACTCTATCCCAGGACTCCAGGATCATGACCTGAGCCGAAGGCAGTCGCTTAACCGACTGAGCCACCCAGGCGCCCCAAATCTTTTGAACACTTATGGTCTTCATTTACGTATCATTTTGTGCCTAGGAAATGTCTTTTCTCCCCTTTTCTTCTTTGAAATGTCATATTAAAAAAGTTTATTGTTGCAGTTATGTGTATATTCCAAATTATCTGAATTCTTATTTGTTGCCTTTTTGATTTTGCTGTGCTTTTTATTTATTTTTTCTCTTGAATTAATTTAATCTTTTAAATTAGGTGACAAAATTGAATTGCTTATCCTGAAGGCCAAGAGAAATCTAGAGCATTGTACTAAAGAGTTACCGAAGTCTACAAAGAAGGATGATAGTCCTTGTTCATTAGATAAACTTGAAGCAGAAAGATCATGGGAAAATATTCCTGTTACTTTGTACGTAAGTTACGATGGAAAAATTTCCTAGTTTTCCAAATAAAAAATGTCATGTGAACAGCTGATTTATTTTTTAAGTAATTCAATGATAATTAACAATAATAATGACATTAGTTGTATAGAGCATTGCTTTGTGTTGTTTCTTTAAATTGCATTTTTCAGTTGTTACAAGATGGTGTAATGTTTCATAACCTTAGGCACATTCTATAACTTTCGCCTTTGTTACATGTTTCTTGTGTTGCACTATAAAATACTGATTTATGTTTAATATGAAGAATCATAGCCCAAAGCAACTATTTTGCAGTTTGAGGATATAAAATTCTTGTTATTTTCTTTTTACTTTAAGTTTTTTCTCCTTCTATATTCTCTCCATATATGGAGCTATGCAGTTATCCATTTCTTTTCATTTACATTTTACTTTCTCTTAGTTATTTTCCTTAAACAGTGGTGCAATTTTTGTATGGTCTGTGGTATAAATTTTTGTAGTTTCTAAGATTATTTTCATTTGTGTGTTTAACCTTCCTATGACATAGCTTCTCAGAATAATTTAAATAGTGTTTACCTAGAAACCTATGAATGTGAGTGTGGAGTAAGAATTAAGCTTAGGTAGGAAAGCTTTTTTCCTTAGGGATATTATTACATCTGAACTCATCAGAAATGCATTCTTGGTAACACTATATCCTGCCTTAGGCTCTGAAAATTTATCATCTTCTGTTGTCTAAACTTTCATTCTGTTGTAGTCTGTTATAGACAGAGTCTGTTAATTCCTGTATCCATTTTTTTTTTTATCACTTCTCAGTTGAACATCTTATTTTTTTGAATATGGACACTGAATATAATTCTGGTTAGGAATCCCAGCCCTGTGACTTCTTTGCTGACACCTTGTACAAGTTATACTTCTGCTTTTTACAAATTACTACTGCTTTGTACAAATTCTACTATGTACAAGTTACTTCTGCCTTGTATAAGACCTTATATAAGTTCTTCTTCTACTTGGGGTTGCTATGAGAATTCGTTTGATTAGAAAATATATACAAAGTACTTAGAACAATTTCTGACTTTTGATGAGCTCTGTTGTAATTGTTAATAGTGGTGATGATTATCCAGAATATTTTTTTCCATATTTAGCTTCATTTCTCAATTGTTGGTTCAATAGTATCTTTATTTTTTAAAACTTGGGTTAATAACTAGCTCACTTAATTCTTAAACTTATTTTCTAATTATTTTCTTGTCAGTTGGTCTTTGTGAAGTACCATAACTATAATACTTTGCTTTCACTTGCAACCAAAATGGGTGAGCAGATAGTATAAGAGGTATTTAAGACTAAAATTTTTGAATGCATGTAGTGTATTATGTGATTAGATAATATAATTTACACTTGTATGATTATTACAATCATTGGTTTGGCCCAGTACCTTGTGTATAGAAGTTGGCTTCTGGAAGATTGCATTCATATTATGATGGGTATGTTTGTACATAAAATGAATGATGGACTGTGAGGAGAAGGAATTAGACCTGACCTCAGTGTGATGTTGACAACTTATTGTCAATCTATCATCAAAACAAAAATTGACTAGGAAGTACTCAAGGTAGTGTACTAGAAGGTAGAACACAATCACAGTCAGATAATTACTTTTTTTGTTTGTTTATTTAACATTTTTATAATGGAAAATTTCAAAGAAATACAAAAGTAGAAAAATAGTATAATGAATCCCTATGTACCCCACACTTATCTTCAGTAATCTGGTAAATGCTTTTTGATGGTAGAGGATGGATGTGCAAACTCTTTTGGTAAAGAATGGGCAAAAAGACTACTTGGGAGCAAGAAAAGCTCATAGTAAGTTACAAATCAAATGAGTCAATAATGAAGTATTGTTAATTACTAAGAAAAATTAGAATTGTGACATTTAAATGTTAGAGAAAGATTCTTAGGTATCTGAGCACTTGAGTTAGAAACATTTTATTTATTTTTATTTTTTATTTTTTTAAAAGATTATTTATTTATTTGTCAGAGAGAGAGTGAGCACACACAAGCAGGGGGAGCGGCAAGCAGAGAGAGAGCAGGCTCCCTGCTGAGCAAGGAGCCCTATGTGAGACTCCATCCCAGGACCCTGGGATCATGACCTGAGCCAAAGGCAGACGTTTAACTGACTGAGCCACCCAGGCGTCCCTAGAAACATATTTTATATTGACATATGAATAAGAGAGAGAATGATTTTATTTATTCTCTGTGACTAATAGAATTTGTTTTGGGAAAATTCTGACTTGCTTGGGTTGCCCTTTGCTCTACTATACCCTGAAACATCAAGAAATAGGGGCGCCTGAGTGGCTCAGTCATTAAGCATCTGCCTTCAGCTCAGGTCCTGATCCCAGGGTCCTGGGATTGAGCCCCGCTTTGGGCTCCCTGCTCCGCGGGAAGCCTCCTTCTCCCTCTTCCACTCCCCCTGCTTGTGTTCCCTTCTCTCGCTGTGTCTCTTTCTGTCAAATAAAATCTTTAAAAAAAAAAAAAAAAAGCAACATCGAGAAATAAACTAATATTTATTGAGCATCTATTACATGTTCCAGGTACATAGAGTTAATTTATGCAGTACTTCTGTAAGATAAGTGGGACTACAAATGTAAAACTGAAATTTAGATAAATAAATTACATATAATCACATAGTGAGTGGGATTGGGATTGGAACTCCGGAATTTTAATTTTAAAATTCATCTTTTCCCCACTGTAATCTGTCCTCTTTGTTTTTTGTTTTTTTTTTTTTTTTTTAAGATTTTATTTATTTGACAGAGAAAGACACAGCGAGAGAGGGGAACACAAACAGGGGGAGTGGGAGAGGGAGAAGCAGGCTCCCAAGGAGCAGGGACCCCAATGCGGGACTCAATCCCAGGACCCTGGAATCGTGACCTGAGCCAAAGGCAGACGCTTCACGACTGAGCCACCCAGGCGCCCCTGTCCTCTTTGTTGATGCCAGTTCTGGAGGGCAGGTCCTATTGCTTTGACATGGAAGAGCATGTAACTGCCATTCCAGTAGAAACTCATGTATTTGTGGGGGGTTTTAACTATCACTGGGTGACAAACCATGTCTGTTTGGAAAAATGTACTGCTTATTTCAAACAAACAAGATTTTGGAGTATAGCCTGTAGTTGAAGGCTTATTTATTTAGTTAAAGACTAATGTTTTTACTTTCTTCATAGTTTTTCCTTAAAGCTTTAAAGGAGAAACAAGGAGATAGGGAAGGTTAGATTCTGGTATCAGTTTAGAGAGAAGATGAGGGAATTACAAAGCAAAATCAATATGAATCCTATCTATAATGGTTGTTTCTTGGTGACTATTTTTGTTTAAATGATAACCATTCAGTTATACACTAAGTTTTATGAATTGGGAACTTAATTACTATTTTGTATCCTTAAATCCTATTTAGCAAATCTCCTGTTCCTGTTAATTCTGATGATAGTCCTCAACAAACTTCAAGGGCAAAGTGTGCTAAAGGGTTCCTTGAAGATTTTTTAAATAATGATAATCAGGTGGGTGAAGTTAAGTCTTTTTAACTTACTAAAAGAGGATTTTTTAACTTACTAAAAGAGGATTTATGACTAATACACAGATTTTAATTTCTAAGATGTTAAAAAACAAAAACTCATTCGAATTCCCTCTTTTTCTTTTTTTCTTTTTTCTTTTTTAAAGATTTATTTATTTGAGGAAGAGAGAGAGACAGAGAATACAAGCGGGGGAAAGGCAGAGGCAGAGGGAGAGGGAGAAGCAGACTCCCTGCTGAGCTGGGAGCCCGACATGGGGCTTGATCCCAGGATCTGAAGATCATGACCTCAGCCGAAGGCAGATGCTTAACCATCTGAGCCACCTAGGCACCCAAATTCCTGCTTTTTCAACACAAGTGCATTAAACCATCGCTCCTAGAATTATTGATAATTTTGTTTTAGTATTCTAAAGTAGAGGGACCTGGGATTGAACTCTACAGAGAGCTTAAATTATCATGGTTTTTTTGTTTTGTTTTTTGGGGCAGTATATAAAGCATATCATTATAGAGTAGGTTATATTTTCCCATACAATGGTTGATTATTCAGAGTTGTGTTTCTAAGAGAAAATGATAAATCTCTATAATTTAGGAAAATAGGAAAATTATTATCCAATTTTACAAAATCAGCATATGTGCATCTTGCAAGTAACCCTAAAATAAAGTATAAATATGTATATGTGCACATAAGAAATTATATATCATTTGACATAGAAATATAGCCATTGCTGTTAAATATTGAAATCATACAGGGGCGCCTGGGTGGCTCAGATGGTTAAGCGTCTGCCTTCAGCTCAGGTCATGATCCCAGGGTCCTGGGATCGAGCCCCACATCGGGCTCCCTGCTCCTTGGGAGCCTGCTTCTCCCTCTGCCTCTCTCTCTCCCTCTCTCTCATGAATAAATAAATAAATAAAAATTAAAAAAAAAAAAGAAATACTTTTGGGGTCCTGAAATATGGAAGATTTGAGAGGTTAAACACTCAAAGATTAGCTGAAAATTTAATAAAATGAACTCCTTCTGTGAAATTTACTAGAGAAAGTAGAAGCTGTCAGAGTATGTTTGACCTTAGAACTTTGTGTAAGATACTGTAGCAGATATTGGGTAAGTGAAGCTTAATTATCAAAAAAAAAATTTTTTTTTAAGATTTTATTTATTTGACAGAGAGAAACAGTGAGAGAGGGAACACAAGCAGGGGGAGTGGGAGAGGGAGAAGCAGGCTTCCTGCAGAGCAGGGAGCCAGATGCGGGGCTCAGTCCCAGGACCCTGGGATCATGACCTGAGCCGAAGGCAGATGCTTAACGACGAAATCAAATATTTTTTTGGCAAATATATCAATAGTAAGCACTTTTTTTAGAAACTGTATCCCTAGTAGTGAATAAGAGAGAAGAAATCCTTGTCTTGTATTTTTTATTCCAATTAGAGAGAAAATTAAACAAAAATATTGTATGTGATATATAAGGGAATACTGTAAATGTTGTGAAGAAAAATTAGTTGGGATAGAAAAATAAGGGTATAGTTTTAGCTAGGGTAGTTAAGAATGACCTTTAATGAGCTGATATTTGAGCAAAAATCTAAAATGAGTGAATAAGCCAAATATACATGGGGAAATAACTTTACATGTAGAGGTGATACTAAGTGCAGAAACCGCAAGGCAGAATTGTATTTGGCACATTCAAAGAATATTAGAGTCCATTAGGGTAGCTTGATCAGAATGAACAAGGAAAAGGATGGTAAGAGGTAAGATGGAGAGGTAACCAGGAACCAGATCATGTAGGGTCTTATAAGTGATGGAATGAAGATTTTGTTTTATTTAGGTGAGATGAGAAGTCACTGGAGGGTTTTGAGTGGAGGAATGAAGTGATCAGATCTACATTTTAAAATAAAAAATGGCAGCTGTGTGGAGCACAGACTTAGAAGGAGCTGGTGAAGGAGCAGGGAACCCAGTTAGGAAACTTCTGTAGTCTTTCTGGATAGGATTGGCATAGGGTGGGTACATTGGAGGTAGTCAGAAATGGGTAGACTTTGGCATGTATTTTGAAGGTAGACCTAGTAGGATGGAGATACAATTCAGAGAATGAATCCAAGATGTTTGAGTCAAGCAGCTAAAAGATTGGGTGGTGGCATTTACTTAGGTAAAGAGCACTGGTAGAGGAATAAATTTGCAGAGGTTCTTTTAAGTTTGAGATGGATGAGTGTTAAATACTAACCAACTGGTCCCTTTTCCCCTGCCAGTACACACGCAATCTCACTACACTACCAGGTTGTTTTGTTTTATTTTTTTGTTTTTGTTTTTTAAAGATTTTTATTTATTTATTTGGCAGAGAGAGAGAGTCAATGAGAGAGGGAACACAAGCAGGGGGAGTGGGAGAAGGAGAAGCAGACTCCCCACCGAGCAGGGAGCCCAATGTGAGGCTCGATCCCAGGACCCTGGGATCATGACCTGAGCCGAAGGCAGATGCTTAACGACTGAGCCACCCAGGCACCCCTGTTTTGTTTTTAATAATTTTAGATGTAAAGAAGGTTCTTATCACCCTTCTTTCAGCTTCCCTAATGTTATCATCTCACATACCATACTATAATGATCACAAACAAGGAATTAAGATAGGTACAATTCTGTTACCTAAACTACAGACCTTACTCTGATTTCACTAGTTTTTCTACCGATGTCCTGTTCCAGGGTCCAACATTGTGTTTAGTTGTCATGTCTCTTTAATCTACTTCAGTCTGTGACAGTTCCTCAGTCTATCCTTGTCTGTCATGACCTTGACACTTTTTAAAGAGTACTGGTCGGTTGGTTATTTTGTAGGTAGTTCCTTAATTTGGGTTTGTCTGAAGTTATCTCATGATTAGAATGAGGTTATGCTTTTGGCAAGAATGTGACAGAAATCATGCTTTGCCCTTCTCAGTGCATCATACCAGAGGGTTCACGATATATTGATATCATTGATTTACTGATATGTGTCTTAGTTGGGCTACTGTAATAAATATGCCATAGACCTGGTGGCTTAAACAACAAACATTTATTTCTTACAGTTATGGAGGGTGAGAAGTCCAAGATCAAGGTTCTAGTGAGGTCCGGCTTCCTAGTTTGCAGATGGCCATCTTCTCCATAAGAGCTCCCATGCCAGAGAACAGGGAAGAAGCAAGCTCTCTTGTGTCTCTTCTTAGGAGGGCACTAATCCCATTCATGAGGGCTCCACCCTTGTGACCTAATTACCTCACAAAAGTCCTTTCTCCAGATACCATCACATTGGGATTAGGCTTCAACATAAGAATTTTAGGGGGACACAAACATTCAGTCCATAACAATGTGTTAATATAATAATATATGAAATTATAATATGTTAATACTTGTGATGTTAACCTTGAACACTACAGTGTCTACTGTCTCTCCCTTTAGTAAAATTACAGTTTCCCCTTGTAATTAATAAATAAGGGGAGATACTTTGACACTGTGCAGATAGTCTCAAAATTTCACTAATTTTAGCATCCATTGGTGGATCTTCTTTTCTTTTAATTGAAATCTTGTGGAATGAAGAACTGTTCCTTCTCCTCCCCATATATTAATTAAATTATTTATATCGATAGGGACTCCTAAATAGATATTCTAAGTTTTTAATACAGTGTTGTTACTTTGTTGCTCAAATTGTTCCGGTTTTGGCCATAAGGAGTTCCTTCAGGTTGGGCCTGTGTCCTTTCGACATGTCCTCATCCTTTTTTGGAGCACTTCTCTGTGGGGCCATGTCTTTTTAACTGGAAAATGGCATTTAGAAATGAAGATCTGGGCACTAGTTGTGCTTATTGCTACTGGGATGTTATTCATTCTAGACTTTCTCAGCAGGCAGATCTACGAAATATGTATGTTTACTAATCCACACATGCACATCTATATTTCTATATCTGTATATTTTATATGTATGTATAAAATCATGAGTTCATACTGATACCTCTGACTCCAGTCCAGTCCTTCAGGGTTTGTTTTAGCCTTTCCTGTTCCTTATTTGTAACAACTTTCCACTGGTGAGAATCGCGTCTATTATCCGTAATCCCTTAACTATTCGTGCATTCTTAGCATACACATTTGGCAATTGTTAATCCATATGCTTGTAAGAAACAAATTTACTAACTAGATCACATTATTTATGTATAGTTCTTTTATCTTAGCCTTACAATATCCAGTCAGAGTACTGCTTTCCAAAGTTACCTTGGTTAATTATTTCTTCCCAACACCTTTCATTGTGGTCATATTGTTCAATTGTAATTCTGTTAGGTGGTTCACTTTTATTGTATATATTGAGTTTAAACCACATCCTATTTGGTTTAAATTATTTGTTTTTTTAATATGTGAAACATTACTATAGTTCTGAGAGAGCTATATAAAAAGATATACTCCAAAACATTCACTACCAGGTTTTATTTTTATTTTTTTAAATTTATTTGAGAGAGAGAGTGAGAGAGAGAGAGCACAAGAGGGGGTAGGGTCAGAGGAAGAAGCAGACTCCCCACTGAGCAGGGAGCCTGATGCGGGATTCGATCCCCGGACTCCAGGATCATGACCTGAGCTGAAGGCAGTCGCTTAACCAACTGAGCCACCCAGGTGCCCTCACTACCAGGTTTTAATGATGAGTCTCAGGACAAATTCTATCAGACATACCAACATTTATTAAATATTCATTAGTGAATGGCACAAACAGTTCATATAATCTGTTTCTCGTAGTTTTCTTTTTGGAACTCTGATCACTAGTTTGCATGAAAAATTCACTCCAGAGGCAGGCTTTTGTAACCCTTATGGTTGGCATCAGGCAGCCAGAAATTCTTCTAAGTCAGTAGCTGGATAGAGATAATGCTTCAGGTGCTGTCCACAAGAGTCAAGAGTCAGGAGTATAAGGCTAATTGGATCCTTTTTTTTTTTTTTTTTAAAGATTTATTTATTTTTATTTGAGAGAGAGAGGGGGAGGGAGGAAGGGAAGGGCAGAGGGAGAGGGAAGGAAGAGAATCCCAAGCTAACTCCCTGACGCAGGGCTCCATCCCATGACGCAGAGATCATGACCTGAGCCAAAAACAAGAGTTGGATGCTCAACCAACTGAGCCATCCAAGTGCCCCAAGGCTAATTGGATCCTTAAGCCCTGTTTATTTTTCTTTATTTTTAAAATTCTGGTGAAATATGTATAACATAATATTGAAGATGTATGTAATATGGAAGATGTAAAAATAAGAGTTTGGTAAGAAGACTTTAAAAAAGAAGTTTAAAAATATCCCTTATAGATTCTCTTAAAAGAATCCTGACCACCTTATCTAGTGCTGTTGCCCTCCTTGAATGCAAGTAAGATCAGTGATAATTGAGGTATGCGTGTTTTTTAGGTAGCAAGGAATGTGTGGCCAATGAATAAGTGAAAAACTAGCATTCTCTGTGTGAAAACATACTTAAAAGTGTTTAGAGAATGCCATATTTGAAATTCTAGTCACTGTTCCGCTGATAACCAGCTTCATTTACATACCCAAAGAGAGCATGTTGGCCTACCTGAGCTTGTCAGTTCTAAAAAATCTATGATTTTAAATGTATAAATGAATGTATTGGCAAATGTGAAGGTGTACTGTTCATTTGAAAAGAGCAGAGACTAGAAAGAATATTGCCTAACTTTAATAATGGTTGTCTGTAAGTAACTTTATCGGGGGACTGGGTAAAGGGAGGTGTTGAGTTACAATTTTGATTTTTCAAAACACATTATTGATTGTACGGTTTGAATTTTTGCACTAATTTTATATTGGGGGAAAATAATAAAAAATGTAACTTTTTCCTCCCTGAATTGCTTGGTTTCATCTGTTTTAACCTCAGAGCTGTACCCTTTCTGGAGGGAAACATCATGGTCCTGTTGAAGCACTGAAACAAATGTTATTTAATCTTCAAGCAGTACAAGAAAGCTTTAATCAGAATAAAACAGCAGAACTGAAAGAAGAGATTAAGCAAGTAAGCACAGACTTGATTTATGAATTGAGATCTACGAATGTGAATTGAGATCTCTGAAGATATGATTTCTTCCTAGATCTTTTTCAGCTTGACCACTATAGTTACATGTTAATAAGCATGCCACATAACACATGTTGTAGAGTTGTGCTAATTGTTATTTTTTTCAGAAATTAACTTAATTATAATACTATTAGATTTCTGTAGTTGTGTGTACCCCTGAATGGGTTGCTCTATTTAGTTTATGGTTGTAAATACAACATCTTATTTAGATCTACCAGCATTACAACTGTAATATGGAAGGATTGTAGGAGTTGTTTTTTTTTTTTTTAAGATTTTTATTTATTTATTTATTTTTTATTTATCTGACAGAGAGAGAGATAGCTAGAGCAGGAACGCAAGCAGGGGGAGTGGGAGAGGGAGAGGCAGGCTTCCTGCCGAGCAGGGAGCCCGATGTGGGACTCGATCCCAGGACCCCAGGATCGTGACCTGAGCTGAAGGCAGACGCTTAACGAATGAGCCACCCAGGCGCCCATAGGAGTTGGTTTTTTTTAATTTTTTTAATTTTTTTTATTCTTATGTTAATCCCCATACATTACATCATTAGTTTTAGATGAAGTGTTCCATGATTCATTGTTTGTGCATAACACCCAGTGCTCCATGCAGAATGTGCCCTCCTCAATACCTACCACCAGGCTAACCCATCCTCCCACCCTCCTCCCCCTCTAGAACCCTGTTTGTTTTTCAGAGTCCATCGTCTCTCATGGTTCGTCTACCCCTCCGAGGAGTTGTTTTTTAATGCCCTATAAAATTATCGGTATAATCCAACTTTTTGTATTTATATTTGGGGAGGCCTGGAAAACCTTTTCAACCTTAGACTTCTCCACATAACCTTTGTCTTCTGAAATTTTGTTTGGTTACCATGAGTTTGGCTCTTCTTATAGCTGATGTAAAATTTTATTTTAAAACCATTATGTTTTTGTGTATTTCCTAGGAATTTGGAAATTTCTTAGCGCTTTGGGCTACTGTTCTGTAGGGATTGAATTTTCTTCACAGTAGTATAGTGTTTATAGAGAGTTTATGTTCTCCTAAATCCAATTTTGAATTCTAATTCTGCCACTTAACTAGCAAGTGCAATATTTGTACAAATCACTTAACCTCTTTAGTTTCAGCTTCCTCTTCTGTAAAATGAGGTTGAGAAGATAAATTGAGATAAACTCTGTGAAGTACTTATTATATAGTACTTGACACCTGATAAAAAATAGCTAGTAAATACTTAAATATTTTTATTGTCATTGGGTTTTTTAATTCTTATTCAGTAGAGCTTTATGAAATTCAGTTTTAATTACATATGAATGGATCAGCTCTTAGGAACTGTATTACTTAATTCTTGTCTATACATTTTAATGATTATTACATTAACATATAGAGTGTATTCCATCCTTTTTTAGACATCATTGAGACATAACCTTGTTCTTACAGTTATAATTTCAAGTCAAGGTTTTATTTTTATTGGACATACATTTAGAAGTGTACATGAAAGGGTGCCTGGGTGGCTCAGATGGTTGGGCATCTGCCTTCAGCTCAGGTCATGATCCCAGGGGCCTGGGATTGAGCCCTGCACTGGGCTCCCTGCTCCGCGGGGAGTCTGCTTCTCCGCCTCCCTCTGCTTCTCCCCCTGCTCATGCTCTCTCTCTCTGTATCTCTGTGTCTCAGATGAATAAATAAAAAAATCTTTAAAAAAAAAAAGTGTACATGAAAGATGAATCTAAGTAGTTATATTTTTAGAATAAAGAGAAAATATTTATTTTTAAAAAGATTTTATTTATTTATTTATTTGACAGAGAGAGAGAGAGAGAGCACAAGCAGGGAGGGGGGCAGTGGGAGAGGGAGAAGCAGGCTCCCCACTGAGCAGGGAGCCCAACATAGGGCTTGATCCCAGGACCCTGGGATCATGGCCTGAGCCGAAGGTGGATGCTTAACTGACTGAGCCACCCAGGCACCCCTAGAATAAAGAGAAAATATGTAATGCTTCACTGAAAATTATTTGCTAGAATTATTTCCTTGGAAATGCAGACAATATTTTTTATTCTTATTATTCACATATTAAATAGTATTTAAGTTTATAGTTACATAATATTTTCAATAACTTGTTATATTTGGTGTTTTTAATAGGTTTCAGAAGATAATTTCTCTAAATTACAGTTGAAGGAAAGTATGGTTCCTATTACTAGGTCACTTCAAAAGTAAGTATTCCCTACTAATTTCTGAATATATTATGGATACAAATCCATTTTAGCCTTTCCTTTGAAATCAGAAGATTATAGGAGGAATTAAGTAGTTCTAAGAATAGATATACTTGGTATATTTAAGCTTCATGGAACAATGTTTAATCCTGAAATTTTCTCTTAAACTTGTGTTATTTTCTATTAAAATGTTCTTAGGACCTAACGAGATAACCTTAGACACCTGAGTATAATGGATGTGAGTGGCTTAAAGAGATTCTCTTTTCATTTCCGACTAATAGCAACAATTTGAGATAGTATTGGTATGGATATCATGGAAGAACAACTTGTTCATGAAATGTGTTTTTATGTATTCCCTCTAGAATAAATATAATAATCATAAATGTGTCATTATTTGACGTATCTCCACAGAAACCTAAAGTGGACATAATGTCCTGGATATAAAAATAGGTCTAAATGCCATAAAGGTGTTAATCTGCTATTTCCTTAGTTAAATTATCTTAAGTAAAAATGTGGAGATGAATACAAATGTTTCCTATGGTCATGGTATTGGCAGAGGGAATCGTCTTTATTTATGGGTTTTGTTGTGTGAATATGAAGTACCCTCAGAAGATGGAATACTGAACTTTAGGACATGCTAAGATTGAAATTTTTTACTTTACTGACATCATTTCACTTGGCTATAAGTGGGGCTAAACAAATATTGTCTACCTTTTGTCCTTTCAGAATTTGCTGAGGATTTGGTTTTCTAAGGAAGTGGTGGAAAAGTGAAACACTAGACATGTAAACTTAGGACTCTAATTGCCATGATATGTATGTGTATGTGTGTGTATACACACACACACATTTTTTTGTTTCCATGGTTTAAAAATATATGTATGTATGATTTTTCCCCCTCTACTTATAATGTCCTGGGTACAAATAATGCCTCTTTCTTTATAGCCTGCCATAGTACTTGGGGATAATGTTCCTATCCAGTAGGAGTCAGTGAATAATGATAATAACTAACATTTATTGAACACTTACCAAATGTCCGTGTTCTTAGTGCTTTTGAATGTAATTCATGTGATCTTTATAACCCTATGAGGTTAAGTACTGTCATTATTTTCATAATTCAGATCAGGTAATAAAGATCAAGTAATAAGGTAACTTGTCCAAGGTCACATAGCTAGTGAGAGGTAGCAGTGGGATTCAAACCAGATAGTCTGATTCTATAGCCTGTGTTCCTAACATTCCTCTTATTAATGATAGTGGTACATTATCCATTTAGGCTAGTGCAGGGCCTCAATTGGTTGTCTAGGAATAAAGACCTCATTCTGCTTTAAAATTTAAAGTAGATGACCTCAAGCTTTTCATGTTTCTTAAAAGCATTTATTTATTTATTTAAACAAATTTTTTAAAAAGATTTTATTTATTTGAGAGAGAGAGAGCAGGAGAAACCATGAGAAAGCACAAGCGGGGGGAGGGTCAGAGGGAGAGGGAGAAGCAGACTCCCTGCTGAGCAGGGAGCCCAACTTGGGCCTTGATCCCAGGACCCTGGGATCATGATCTCAGCTGAAGGCAGATGCTTAACTGACTGAGCCACCCAGGCACTCTTCTTTTTTTTTTTTAATTTTATTATGTTATGTTAGTCACCATACAATACATCATTGGTTTTTGATGTGGTGATCCACGATCCATTGTTTTCGTATAACACCCAGTGCTCCATGCAGTATGTGCCCTCCTTAATACCCATCACTGGGCTAACCAATCCCCCTCCTCCTCCCCTCTAAAACCCTGTTTGTTTCTCAGAGTCCAAGTCTCTCATGGTTCATCTCTCCCTCCAATTCCGCCCCCCCCATTTTTCCCTTCCTTCTCCTAATGTCCTCCATGCTATTCCTTAAGTTCCACAAATAAGTGAAACCATATGATAATTGACTTTCTCTGCTTGACTTATTTCGCTTAGTATAATCTCCTCCAGTCCCATCCATGTTGATGTAAAAGTTGGGTATTCATCTTTTCTGATGGCTGAGTAATATTCCATTGTATATATGACCCCATCTTCTTTATCCATTCATCTGTTGAAGGGCATCTCGGCTCTTTCCACAGTTTGGCTATTGCGGACATTGCTGCTATGAACATTGGGGTGCATATGGCCCTTCTTTTCACGACATCTGTGTCTTTGGGGTAAATACCCAGGAGTGCAATCGCTGGGTTATAGGGTAGCTCTATTTTTAAATTTTTGAGGAACCTCCACACTGTTTTCCAAAGTGGCTGTACCAACTTGCATTCCCACCAACAATGTAAGAGGGTTCCCCTTTCTCCACAACCTCTCCAACATTTGTTGTTTCTTGCCCTGTCCATTTTTCCCAGGCGCCCTTCTTAAAAGCATTTATATTGAACTTGTGTCACAGACTTAAATGTGTTTTCTGAGTTAAAGTACATAGCCTGGAAGATGTTTTTCTTGGTGAAGATGAACACTGGGCTGTAAGTAATTAAATGACCACAAAAATTGATATTATAGGTGCTTTTACTATTAGCTAAAAGAATTTTTTTTCATAGTAGTAACTTTTTTCTAGCTTGGACAACCAATAATCTTGCCTACATGTAGAATGCCATTTTCAGAGAGTAAGATTCATGTTCTGTTAGATGGCTTTTAGCTGTTGGTTCTGTTGGATTATCTGGGGCAGTCTTAATTTGGCTTTTACTTACATTTCAAAGGTATTATCAGTAAGGCATTTGTACTGTTATGAAGTAAGTTTAAACTTTTAAAAGTGTGTAAGTACATGTTTTCATTATTTTTAATCTGTAGATTATTTTAAGGACAATTTGAAATTCAAATTGTTCTGGTTAGGTTTATAGTCATCTTTTCATAATTCAAAATAAACAGACTCAGCTTCTTCAAAAGTTGCGGATTGTACCTTGGGTGCTTTAATGACCTTTCCTGGGATGAAAAGTCCTATTATGTCTTTCCCCACCCCTCAAATAACAGTTTTTGTTTTTAACAGTTTGATTGCTAACCAGTTTTAAAATGTCTTTCATTAGCCTTAGGAAATGCCAAGGTCTTAGTATGGTTCTGTTTACTCTGTTGGGACACTCAGTTTTCTTATATTCTTCCATTAGAAATAACTGCTCTCTGGGAAGACTCATTAGACCTGAAGTATAAATGATTGAGTAGCTTAAAATGTTATTTTTTTCAGAGGGATTTTGCTTTTAGTAGGAATCTAAATTGTAATTGTTTTGTATCCCTATAATGCTTTAGCTTTGTCTTATGTATTTACATAATAGGAACTCAATAAAAACTTATTAACTAAAACGTCCATAAGAGAAATTTGTCATCTTAGCAAATGAAAAAGTTGTAGTTTTTTGAGCAGGGGCCTTTTCTAGAATCTTGTATGTCATGTAAGCCACCAGCTACTCTGCCCAGGATGGCTGTGAAGAATGAGCAATAGTATGTTGCTCATATGCTATAAAGGTGAGCAGTAGGAGATGATTGCAAAATCATCAGTCATCCAAAAATAATTTGTATTGGCTTTGGAATTTGTTGTTTTATATACAATTTGGAAATGGATGTGTAAGATTTTATAGTTCTCAGTACTAAAGGCCATGCTGTGAAGACTTAATGATAGCTAGAAAGTTGTACTGTTTCTCAGTTCTCTTTTCTTGCTCAATTTTCTGGTCTTCATTCTATACTAGAAATAGACAGAATTACCTCTCAGATTTGCAAAACATGATCCTAGAGCAAGGATTTTTCTTTTATTCTAATGTACTCTACTAAAACCTAGGGAGTGGTCGGCAGTTTGTTTAGTTGTTGCTGGATACTAGGCTGAATATAGGCCGGTAAACAGTATTTAAGAACAGCCAATATAGCAGTACTAATAGGAAACCAGATGCAAGATATCAGTAAGTTAAAAATATAGTTAAATTGCCTTCATATAATCAGTCTGTTACTGAGTTTCTGTGGGTTGATTTCTTTTTTTTTTTTTTTTAAGATTTTATTTATTTATCTGAGAGAGAGAATGGGAGACAGAGAGCATGAGACGGGAAGGGTCATAGGGGGAAGCAGACTCCCCGCTGAGCAGGGAGCCCGTTGTGGGACTCGATCCTGGGACCCCAGAATCATGACCTGAGCCGAGGGCAGTTGCTTAACCAACTGAGCCACCCAGGCGCCCTGTGGGTTGATTTCTATTTATTTATGCTCACTGATAGATCCTTTTTCATAGTAAGACATGAGCTTTTTTATTTCAATTTTTAAGGTGAATTGACTATTCAGTGTTGTATGTAACATAACTCTTAAATTGATATTTTCCCCATTAGCTTGCTTTTTCACCTTTTTGGAGAAGAAACTCAGGAATAATTTCCTTCTATAATTTTATTCTGCACTTGTCCCTACACATAATAGCAAATCACTTTTGATAGCCTCTTCTCTAAGTAGATTGATTGTCTTATTCTTAGCTGGGCAGATAAAAGTTAAATGAAAGGAACTGCTAGCTGATTGTGTAGGGGGACTGAAGATTTCACATTTCTGCTTAGCTTTTTTTTTCATTCCCATCATACTATACCCCTCCCTTTCCTTCCCATCATTCTCCTTTCTCCCTAACATTGTTTTTTTTGTTTTTTTTGGTTTTTTTTTAAGATTTCATTCATTTATTTGAGAGAGAGAGCGAGCACATGAGAGGGGGAGGGCCAGAGGGAGAAGCAGACTCCCCGCTGAGCAGGGAGCCCAATGTGGGACTCGATCCCGGGACTCCAGGATCATGACCTGAGCCGAAGGCAGTCGCCCAACCAACTGAGCCACCCAGGCGCCCCCTAACATTGTTTTTTAAAGACATGAAATAGGACTAGAAAGGAAGCCAGTTATATTGAGTTATAGTTATGAAAATGTTAGAATAAATTTCTAATTAGTAATACATGCTTCTTTATTAATGCATTTAAATAAGACATTTAAAATACAGGTAAGTTAAAATTCATTTTGTGAAAACATATTATATGAAGGCCTTTTACATAACTTGAATAAAAGCATTAAACCATGCTGTGGTCTTTTATTTACCTTTCACATGTTGATCAGCAAACAGAGAAAGGGAATATTGGAAAGCATCAATGTCTGGGTCACCAGTTATGTCATATGAACTTTTGGACTGTAAGCAGAAAGACTTAGAATGCATATGTTTTAGCAATGGGGTTAATAATTAATGTAATTTTGTAACTATTATATATAACTATTGTAATTTTTAAGTAGCAGTGAATATCAAAACTGTTCTGAGATACCTGCAATGACTACAGTGTGATAGAAAAATATCTCTAATTTCTGTGGCATATGAGGTCACCGATTTTGGTCTGTTGCTTACACTCATAATGGAAGGAAATGCTAATTTACAGGTAGCATTTAGTGAAAATAAAGATGAGGATTTTTTCCCGCAACCAATTTAGTCAGCTGTCTAAATCCAAGGGATCTGTGTCCCTCAGAATTGTAAACAGCGAGATAAGACGCTAGCTGCTTGCCCCTCCCTCCCTTTCTTCTCTCCTTCCCTCCTTCCCTCCTTCCCTGCTTCCTTCCTTCCTTACTTTTTTTAAGATTTTATTTTTAAGCACTCTCTATACCCAGTGTGGGACTTGAACTCACAACCCCAAGATCAAGAGTCTCACGCTCCACTGACTCAACCAGCCAGGTGCCCCTCTTTTGAATGTAGGTTGCTAAATAATAAGCCTGAAAAGAAAAAGATAGATCTAAGTCCAAAGTATATTCATAGATTATCTTCTTTCTCATAAATGTGTGTCTCTAGAAAGAAAGTGATTTTTTAGGTAAAGAGATATTACTATAGGATGTAGAAATGATAGAGTCTAATTTTACCTCTGATTGCATAGTAACTTTGGGTGATTTATTGTCATTTAGTTAATGAAGATGAGAATCTCAAAAATTAATTGAAGTTGCCAAAAGGGTGGCAAAATCCAGATTCTTATTACATTTGAGTAAGTGTCCAAGAAGTAGAGTACAGGGAAATAGATATAATGCAGTAATTAACAGTACTAGTTTCTTCCATCTTCATATCCTGGGTCAAGTGGAAAATGTATTTTATTTAATATAAATTTACCAAACCTGTGTTAGAGACCGTAAAAATAGGGTATTGTGGTCACCACCTTTCAACTCAATTTAGAAATTACTAACAGATTACTGCGCATCATAATTGTTACATTATTTGTTTTTGTTGGTCTCTTATTTATCAGAGATCTGAAAAATGGTTGATTAACTGACATTTTCTGGGTGGTCTTTGAGGATCTGAATGAGTAATAGGGGAAAGGAAAAAGGAAGAGTATTTTTAGAGGAAGACTGGAAAGTTAAGGGCCTCTTTTTTATTGGTTTGTTTGAGGGGTGATTAAATTTTCTTCACTGAGACCTGACCTATAATCTTAGCTTTATTTTAGAGAAAAAATCAGGTTGTTTGTTTAATACAACATAATTGTCATTTGTTTCCCCTTATCCTCAATAAAAATGAGTTTTCCTCAACTGTAACGGATCCTTCAGTGCTATTTTTAAAATTTTAGCTATTCTCAATGTACATCTTAATGAATGTACTTTTTTCTTAAATGATATAAACAGTATTCCAAAAGAAAAGGTATAATTTCACAGAGCTATTGTGATAATGACATAAAAAAGTGTTTTGTTAAGTGTGACACAAATAAAATCTATTATTATTAAACTTTGTGGCAGACTTTCAAAAAAAAATCCCATGCATGTCAAAAATATATTTTTTAAAGTAAATGTTTATAAAATTTAAATGAATTATTTTAGCCCTCAGTTATTCAGATCTCAAGGTTTTATAAAGAAAAATTCTAAATATTTGACACTTATTCTATAAATTCATTTCTCATATACTAATTTTGAAGTTAATAAACAATGTAATCACCATTTGTTGCTGTCTGCATTGTCTGTTCAGTCCTTAATATTGGTTTATAATGTGTTTTATACTTTTTAATGAAGGGCTTTGCACCATTTATCCCGCCTGAGAGACCTGGTTGATGATACCAGTGGGAAACAGTCGCCGAAAATGTGAAGAGGAAAAAAAAAGGGTCCACCCAATAAATGGTCATCACAGAACAAAGATGTATTTTTATTCCTGTTGCTTAAACTGACAAAGAAATTATAAGCCATACATTATTCTGTGATTGGTTCAAGTATTATATATTTTTTAAAAAACAAACTTGAAAATGTGCATAGGTTTTGTGACCTATCCTCATTTAATGCCAAAATACCAGAATGTGAACTGGAAGGACCCATACGTGTCCTGCAGTCTGGTTTTGGTTTTCAGGCCAGCAAATGTCCAATATTCAAAGATGGATGATGTCCGTTATTGAAGCTTATGTGCACTTAATCTTCTTGAGCGTCCTCACCATTTTATCATCTAATTCTAGATTATTAAGAAACTCTTCCTGGTTTCTATCCAAAATCTCTTAAGTAGACATTTTGATACAATTAGCATCTACATTTAAGTAGGCTAGAGGAATATCAAAATTGTTATGGTTTATCTTATCCATATAGAAATATGTTGCTTTTAATTTTTATAAATATTTAAGATATGTTGTATTTGCAGATAACATTAATTTAATAATGGGATGATACAGTGCTAAAAGGAATGTTTTATGTTGTGAAATCTAAGAGAAAAACTCATTTAATTAATGCTTTGATTTTGATTCTGTGTAAGATAATCTTGATATCACTTGACAGTTTACAAAACATTTTTTGGGGAGTATATTTGATAATTTAATATTTTGATATTATTTCCCAAATTTTAGTTTTGAGGTTAGCTCAAACTAGTAAAAATTATAAGATCAATGACCAATCGCTGTATGCAATTTGTTAAGTAAACTTAAAATGAATGTGGAAAATCCAAAAGCAACTCTGTATTATAAAGCTATTTTGTAAGAGCTGAACTTTCTTTAAAGCAATCTGTAAAGTTTGTCTCTAGCTGGAACTCAACAGAGCTATATAATTTTGCATTTTCTACCAAGTAAACTTCTAATAAACAAGAGAGCATCTTTACCAACAAAACTAGGAATTAAATCATAAAGCATATTTTAAAAGCCTGATGAAATGAAAGAACATGAGTGTTTGTATACAAACAGTACAAATTAACACTGCCCAAATCGCAGCATCTTTGCTAGGTAGCTTTACTGTCAAATAGGAGTTTCTAAGTACATTGTGTTGAAGACTTTTTTTTTCCCTCAAGTTTAAAGCACTGTGTAAGAGCTTTGCTATAGAACTTACATGTCAAAAACTATAGAGTGAACCCTGTCATTTTTTTTCTTGGCCATTGAGTCAGAGTTACCACCATACAATTGTTTTTGCCCAGTTTGAGGGTCACTCGGCATTAAGTTTGTTTTGCTTACTCCATTATTTCTGCTACCAACATTCTATTTTCTGATTATTGTCTTCTGCTTCAAAACATATAGTTTGCATATAATCAAACAAAGTATTACTTTGATGATGAAAGTATGGGTGGCTGTTAAAAATGCAGATTTTAAGTAGGTGAACATGAGGTGGATCTGGGTTGATCATGTTCCAGGCTTAGCCAAATCCACTGTTACACAAATTCTATAGAAAACAGAGAAGATGAATACATCAGATAATAAACTTCTAATTGCATATATGTTGATCAGACTTAGTATTTAGTATACCTAAAAAGTATTTCCAAAGGTATTATGCTATAATGACTGAACAGCACTGATTTGGTTAGTGCTGTCATTTGCAAGAAAGTATCTCCAATGCTAAATAAGATAAGCCTTCTAAATTTTTATATTATAGCTAATATTTTAAGAAACTTGATTATACTTATTAAAGGAGTATTTTCCTTTTGTGTTAAATATGGAAGCTTAGTCATTTACCTAAAAAGGGAATTAATTTTATTGAAACGATTAATTCCAACTTTTTTTTTTTAAGATTTATTTATTTATTTGAGAGAGCAAGAATGAGAGAGAGAGTACATGTGAAGGGGGGAGGGTTAGAGGGAGAAGCCGGCTCCTCGCCGAGCAGGGAGCCCGATGCGGAACTCGATCCAGGGACTCCAGGATCATGACCTGAGCCGAAGGCAGTCGCTTAACCAACTGAGCCACCCAGGTGCCCGATTAATTCCAACTTTTTAATAAAAGAAATGTATGAGAGTCCACTAAGAAAAAAATTTTTTTTAAGATTTTATTTATTTGACAGACAGTGAGAGAGGGAACACAAGCAGGGGGAGTGGGAGAGGGAGAAGCAGGCTCCCAAGGAGCAGAGAGCCCGATGCGGGGCTCGATCCTAGGACCTGAGATCATGACCTGAGCTGAAGGCAGACGCTTAACCAACTGAGCCACCAGGCACCCCTATTTCAGTATTTTTTATTTTGAGTTTTCCAGGGGTAAAAGGGTGACGACAACTGAGACTGCTGAGTTGGAAATTAAAAGCAGACAATGGTAACAAAGTTTTTAAAAATTGCAGTGAGAATATAAATTTTTATCAACCCCTTTCTTTTAGGTTTATTTAAAAGTATTAGGTAGAAAAGGAATTTTAAAAAGACATTTCAGATTTTTAGTTAAGTATGAAAAAAATTTAACAAACCTAATTCCAAAATTTTTTGAGATCAAAG